GCCCCAGGGTTTTCCTCCACCTGCCGGCTTGCAGCCTCCATCCCTGCTGACTCCAGCACGGGCTCGATAAACTCTTTGTCTGGAAAAAAAAAATCCATATTTTCTGTCCCTAGGAATGGGTCATTAGCTCCTCAAATATTCCCTTGGGCTACGTTCCAAGCTGCTTAAGCCTCTATCCTAACTGCATTGAAGTCTGTTTCCTCTCTTCCTCCGATGCTTGCCAAACGCTCTCCCTCTTGAAAAACAAATCGTAAAATGAAGTAAAAACAAACCCCGCTCCACTTTGTTCCACGTGCAGTTAAACCTTACTCCACGGAGTTAAAGTTCAGATCTTTGCAAGCTGATGGTCTCCGGCCCATCGTTCAATGAATGTTACTGTATGGTCGCGAGTGCCAGGGATGGAGCTTGCCAAGGGCAAGGAGGACGATTTCAGTCATTGTGACCTGTGGCTCAGCGCGGGAAACAAATAAATAAACAGGAAATGACAGCCCAGGGTGAAAATGCAACCATGGGAGTAAGCACCGGGTGGGAGGGCGGGCTGGGGCCCCTCACCCAACCCAGTTGAAGAGATGGGCAGGAGGGCATCCCAGAAGGAGGAAGCCTCAGGAGAGAAGCTTACAGCAGAGACAGATGCTGACACCCGAAGTAAGCAGGTGCGTGTCCCCCAAATCCCACAGTCACCGCCTCATCTGTTTCCTACAAAGCCAGACCTCTTTCTTACGGGTTGACAGCCCTCAGTTAGTTTTTCCTACTTTTCCTCTTCAAAATTTCAAGAGAACCAATACGAGAAAAACAGCGCCTCATCTTTTGAGCTGTCACTCCTTGGAGAGACCAGGCTTTCAGGACGTTCCACACCCTGTGTCGTCCCCCTTCCCCTCCTATTTTCCTCCTTCCTTAGCATTAGGTTCAGGGGCACTGAGCAGAATATGCATTATGAGAAAGCAACTTGAAGGCTCTAAAATGAGATCAAAAGGGTGGGTATGAATCATCATGATTAATAATAGGATGTTTTGTAGAGGAAAGAGCAGAGGCTGAGATCCCAGGAACCTTAGGTCTAGTTCCTTCCTCTGACTCTGTGCCCCAGACTAAATGCTGAATGTCCCTGCAGTGCATGTTGGCATTTTCCTGTGTCTTGCACTCCGTATTCTTAGACACATGCTCATCCCCAAGCACATGTCCACACACACACACACACACACACACGTATATGCATGGATAGGTGATACAAATGTGGGGGTATGTTTACATTTTTTAAATTTTATTTATTTATTTAATTTTATTCATGAGAGACAGACAGAGAGAGAGAGAGGGAGAGAGGCAGAAGGAGAAGCAGGCTTCCCGCCGAGCAGGGAGCCCGATGTGGGGCTCGATCCCAGGACCCTGGGATCATGACCTGAGCCGAAGGCAGATGCTTAACCATCTGAGACACCCAGGTGCCCATGTTTACATTTTTTAATACAAATTGTAGGTTTCTGGACGATCACTATGCTATTCTTTTAATTTTTCTGAATGTTTGAAACTTTCATAACAAAAATTTAGCAAACAAAATTCCTACCTTCCAGCTGCCTTCCGTCTGTGACCTGTGACTTTCCCTCAGTTCAGGGCACCCCTCCTGCTCCCAAGCAATTTCGTACCCACCCCTTCCTCCCATATCAAAATCTGCTCAGAAATGGATAGTTACCCATTATCACCTCTCCTTCGCTTCGTGCATACTTATGCTAAGTTCTTATTTTTTTAAAGAGCATTCCCGTGTTATCTCTAACTGTGACATAAAGGTTTTGTGTGTTCTTTAAAGGATTTCAGGATGAGTGCATGAGAGAGGATTGGAGGGCCAGGGAGGCTGTCTTCTCAGAGCCCCTTAACGCATACCGTCGAGGATATGTCCGCCGGTCTACACCCACGCCTATAGCCCGTCTACACCCACGCCTGCACGGCACAGTAACGTTCTTAAAGCCACATGTCTCAAGTGGGTTCTGCTTTAAATTGGCTTTAAATTGGATGCTGTGCTGAGTTCCCTTAGCCCTCTAGAGCACCGACTGCTCATTTGAAAAATAAGGCCATTGCACCAGCTGGGTACAGGACTAGCTCCCCTGGGCTGCTCATTAAAGCATGGGGATGCCGGGGCCCCCTCCAGGGTCAACAGCGTACGAAACACTGCCCTGGGTGCCCTGCACAACTCTCTTGAGCTACAACACAATGACGTTTATGACAAAACAGGGTGGCCTGTGTCCTCATGAGAGAGGGTCTCTCCCACGCCTCCTCTCCTGCCCGCCCCCCAACTCACACCCTGGAGCTGGATCTTATCAGCCCACAGGGAATGGCTCTCCCAACTCTGCTGACCTGTGAGCCTCAAGCAAGAGAACTCAGAAGAAGGTGGAGTCGAGGCAGAAACTCCACAGTCCAGAAGTATTTTCTTTTTTGGTCACCCTTTAAAATAAAACAAAACTGCTCATCTCTTTCTCATTACATTAGACTGTATTTCATAAGCCACGCTGCCTTGGCTGCAGCTGAAGCCGTGTTTTTCTGGTTGTTCAAAGCTCTTTTTTTTTATGTGTTTTTTGGGAGAAGCTTTGTAAAAGCATATTTCAGCCCAAAAATATAAATACTTTCCTTTAGGAAGTCACCGCTCCCTTCCCCTTACATATTTGAGGAAATACTGCAGATATAACTGTAATGATGTTAAAAAGGAAACCCAACCACAAACAAATTCCCTTCCAATGTTTTCACGGATAACAGCCAATAACAGCCGATGCCCAAATGATGGGAGGTGGGTGGGGGCCTCTTTCCCCTCAATGTCACATGCGGCCTTCCGTTCTCTGTAGGCCGACTGTTAAATAAATCAAATGAAAGTCAACAAAGGTCCTTTTCATTCTGGGACATACAAAAATGCAGGGCCTGGTCCTGAAGTTTCAAGTCTCTGAGACCTTCCGTCGGCTGAGTGAGCTACAGGAATTCGTTTAATAATCCTGTGGAATGATCCTTGTTCAGAGAAGATGGAAGCCCAGAGCAGCACCTGACCAGCTTCAGCAGTGACCCCCTCATTCTTCCCTGACTGTTTTCTTGCCCCGACTTGTCCGGATTATGTGATTATCATAAGAGCAGCACATGGGGGAATCCCTGAAGGAGCCCGACCGTTTTCTCTTTTCTTTGGCACATTTCAAAGAATTGACAAAAGCGATTGAGAAAAGATTTCTTTCCGATTTGGTGTGGCTCAGGCCACAGGTTCACACACCTTGCTCTTACCAGCAGAGGTGTTATGTCAAGGCCAAGAAGAAGTTATAGGTGCCGGCTGAACGCACGCTATGAGCAGCTGAGCCAGCGTGCAAAAATAAAATTCATGGCACATAGCAATTTGATGTCCAGCTGCAGATCATTATCAATGAGTTACAGGACAAAACAGTATGAATGCAATAAACTGCTAAAATCTGTAATATGGGGGCGCCGGGTGGCTCAGTCGATGAGCGTCTGCCTTGGGCTCAGGTCATGATCCCAGGGTCCTGGGATCGAGCCCCGCATCAAGTTCCCTGCTCGGCGGGAAGCCTGCTTCTCCCTCTCCCACTCCCCCTGCTAGTGTTCCCTCTCTCGCTGTGCCTCTCTCTGTCAAATAAATAAATAAAATCTTTAAAAAGAATAAAAATTAAAATATAAATAAATAAATAAATAAATAAAATAAAATCTGTGATATGACCTAAAAGACGTGTGCAGTTTGAGTGTCTGGGGAAGGCTTTACGCAGAATAAATAAAACAGAGTTGTAGTTACTGCTGTGAGCTTTGTTGCCAACTGCCCTGGTCCAGAACTTGGATCTGGTACTTATGAGCTATAGGACCTAGGGCAAAATACTTAACCTATTTCTGCACTCACTCTGCTCCTGCCCCCAGAAATACTCCAGTCCTGAAGAGTTTCAGCAGAAAGAACCCTCCTGAATCTAAGGAATAAAGTTAGCTGCCTGGATTCTTCTTCTTTTAAGCAGATTCAATCCCCAAATACTCTTTGTATTCTTAAATTCTGCTTCTTATTTTGGAAAAAACAAAACAAAAAAACACTCTTTTTAAAAAAAAAACAAAAAACAAAAAAACCTCTTTCTTATATAAAGACCTTAGCCCTTAAAAGGAAAATTTTAACAAGAAAACAATTATGCAGTGGCCTCTTAGTAATCTAAATCCCAATGTGTGACCTAAATGAATGATTTTTTAAAACTCTGGGTGTAAGTAGGAAGAGGAAAAGTGTTCTGAAAATCATTGCCCACTGTTGAGATCACGTATAATATCCACGTATGTTGATTATCACTTATGCTTCTTGAAATTATTCAAGGGGCAAGACTGGTCTCTTTCTCTGAACTTATGTGGAACCTACCAATTTAATTTAATTTTAATATATCTTAATCTATAATTTAAATTTTTGTTTAGAAAACTTTATTCTTTACTGCACCAATACCAGCAGGAAAGTTGAGCTATTGCAGTGTAATGGTTAGCTCAACACCTATCATTCATTCAAAATACGTCATCAAAAATCTAAGATTTGGTTAAATGCTGTACCATGTAACCCCAACACATTTGAATTTCAATTTATGAAATTATTAAATTAAGAGAAACGTATTGCAGTTTTATGTTTTCCCAGTTGTAAGATAAGAAAAATAATATTGTCTACTGTTACCACTGCCTAAGAGCCTGAACAGAGTTTTGCAGGCACAACTAGCTAATAATTGCTCTTTTGATTTATATCACTGTAACAATTTTATGCTAAATTTTCCAGTATCAAAGCAGGGGTATAATCATTTTTTATTTTTTTTTATTTTTTATTTATTTATTTTTTAAGATTTTATTTATTTATTTGAGAGAGAGAATGAGAGACACAGAGCACGAGAGGGAAGAGGGCAGAGGGGGAAGCAGACTCCCCGCCGAGCAGGGAGCCCGATGCGGGACTCGATCCCGGGACTCCAGGATCATGACCTGAGCCGAAGGAAGTCGCCTAACCAACTGAGCCACCCAGGCGCCCGGTATAATCATTTTTTAAAGATGACCATTATGCAAGTGCGAACTTAAACAATTCTGCTTACTAGAATTTGCAACCTGAGACATCCCCTTAAAACAAATATGAAACATCCAAAGAATGTATATATGTTGAGCGAGGGTGAGTGTGTGTGTATGACACATACATATGTATCACCTTTCCTCACGGGTGCTGCCTTCATGTTCTTCCATAAGCATGACAATATTTACTTTATAGCAAATCTCACTATATATAGTAAATAGGTTAAAATAATTTTTCATCGAAGTGAACGAGTCAAAAATTTTTAGATCCACACTCCTGAACTTCCCCTAAAATGTGTCTAATTCAATGGTAAGATTCATGAAATGTAAAGATTAGTAAGTTCTTTTTTTTTAAGATTTTATTTATTTAAGAGAGAGAGAGAGATAAAGAGAGAGCAAGAGTCGGGGAAAGGACAGAGGGCGAAGGAGGAGCAGGCTCCCCGCTGAGCAAGGAGCCCGATGCGGGGCTCGATCCCAGGACCCTGGGATTATGACCTGAGCCGAAGGCAGACGCTTAGCCGACTGAGCCACCCAGGTGCCCCAAGATTAGTAGGTTCTTATAAAATATCCAGTTCTTCTCACTCCTAGACATTTTCTATAATTTTTGGACATTTTTAATAAAGAATTTCAGTGCTATTTCTTTTCTTCGTGGATTTCTCTGCCATGGCAGCTACAATTCGATTTTTAAAAAATGATTATCATTATATTAAGAAGTTCTTGGTCTTGATTAATTGTTAAGAATTTTGATGCCCAAAAGAATGTAGGGGGTCCCCATAAATCTCTTGTAAATGACATCTCATGAACTAGTTCTTCTTACTCTTGCTGTTGATTGGTGCTTTCTGAGACATTTAATCGAATCCTAAGTAGGGTTGCCAGATAAAATACAGGACATCCAGTTAAATGTGAATTTCAAATAAATAATGAAAATGTTTTCAGTAGAAATATGTCCCAAATATTGCATAGCATATACTTACCCTAAATTTATTTTCATAGTTAATCTGAAATTCAAATCTAAATTACCGTCCTATATTACTAAAAACCTTATTAAGCTTTATTAAGATATTCATGTATCATAAAAATCCACCACTTTAAGTATATAAGGCAATGGATTTTAGTTTATTCACAGAGTTGTACAGCCATTATCACCATCTGATTTTAAAACATGGTATCATCCCAGAAAGAAACCCTGTAGCCATTATCAGTCACTCCCCATCCCAGGGCCCCCCTTATTCGGCAGCCCTAGGCAACCACGAATTTACTTTCTATCTTTATAGATTTGCCCATTTGCAACATTTGACCTATATGGACTCTCACAATATGTGGTCTTCTGTGCCTAGCTTCTTTCACTTAGCCTGATTTCAAGGTCCATCCACGTTGTGGCATATTATCAATGCATCTGTATTTTTATTTCTTAATCTGGCAACATTAATTCTAAGGCAATATGGAATAGAACCATTTTGCCTAGGATAAGGTGAAAAACTATTCTTTACTACCAGACTCCTATCCAAACTGATCCCTGGAGATACTCTATCAAATTCTCACGTCTCCTTTGAACTCTCAGAATTTGCCATTCTGGATTTGGAGACCTGGGGTCAGAAAGAACTAGGCTCAAAGTAACAGGATTGGGGCAGTTGGTGGAGAAGTTGCCAGGGGTCTGAGGTATAGGATGGAGAAGGAGCTAGTGCTCTATTGGTGGTCAAAAGGGCCTGAGCTGGTCATCACACAAATACAAGGTGGGGGGAGGTCAGAGCTGGGTGTCTGCCTTCCACACCTCTGGGCCTTTGATGAGGCCTTCTGTCCTTCTTTCTGTTTAGCTCTCCCCTTGATGATGGTTGTCACCAGATTCTCCCTTTGTGAGATTTGAGAAGAAGGATAAATAACACAAGGGGGTTAACCCACAAGCTGAAGGTCGGGCTAGCCCTGCCAGGGAAAGTGAGTGGTCTTGGGGTAGGAGGAGGGATATGATCTGAAAACAGTCCTACTGTGCAAGTCTGAAGGGCCCGATTTCGTATCTGCCGACACTGCTCTCCCCGCACCTCCCAGATTCCAGTCCCAAACCCCCCAGCCCTGATTCCTGCCACTGCCTATGATAGCCTACCAGCAAGTACATGGTGATTTAAGATGCAGGCCCTGCCTTTGACCCTGATAGTCCATTGCGTTCATGGCCTCGAGAACTCTGGTCTATGCGCGGTAAACCACTATCTCCAAGATATTCCTACTAGGACTACAGAGGAGGAAGCATTAAAATTTCACCAAACAACTTAACCAGATGATTACTCTGTTTTGTTCTTTCTCTGTGCAACGTTACTCTTGGCCTTCCTCAGAATTAGAGAACTGTATTTTCTTCGTTTAGACAGGTCTCCGGAGAAGTTATATGACTGTTCCTGAGGGTGAGTAAGAGGACCTCGTCTCCTCAGGGATTTGAGCAGCAAGCTCAACCCCCTTCTCTGCCTTGCGTGACAGGAGGCTCTGTGCATGCCTGATGGAATCCAGGACACCGTCCCACGCCTTCCCCTTGTAAAATATGTATTTCAAACTTGATGTATCTTTCAGCTTAAACCTTCATCAAAGCTGTAGCCAGCATCCAGAAGTAGCCCAAAGGGCCTCACTCGAACACTTCTCTCCCCCGCAGAGAAAGCAACCTGCTCTCGCCCCGTAGCGCATGCTCAGCTGGCAGAGTGAATTTTTATCACATTAAAAGAAAAAAAAAACCCACTAAACATCATTCTCCAGAAACTCTTGCAAAAAGGTCAGCTTTAATGCAATGCTTATCAAATGCATTTCAAGGAATCCAGGGTTTGGCTAACTTGTTCTCAAACTTTCGTTTCTTAAGGCGTTTTGTTATTTTGTTGTTTTTTTTTTAAGTCCCCAATCCACTTCAAATTCCAAATATGTATGGTTCCCTGAGAGCAGGCTGTCATACTTTGCAGCACGGCAGGCAGGCCTGAGGCAGCATTCTTGTCTGTCAGGATTCTAGAGGGAGATGGAAGAATGATAAGTAGAAGCCACTGTAGGTGAGTTTGGTCTAAAGGAAATGATGTTCCTTTTGTGCTGTGGGAAAGTGACCTGTGAGCCATGCTGCTCCTCGGAGGCACATAACCAGAGAAGCCCGGAGCCTTCAGAAAGATGCCATCCAGTTCTCGGCTCTCCCCAGCCGCTGTTCTCCTCAGCTTACTTCTCACCCCTGACCAGCTCAGTGGAGAAAAGACTAGCATTTCACAAGTTAGATTTCATCATGTTTGCCAATTAACAACAGCAAAACATGATGCGACTAAGTGCATACTGCGTGTGTAAAAACTAAATAAAACTACGTTACAAATGAGAGATGTATAAGAAAACAAAACACAGAGCCACCAAATGATCTAAGAGATTCATTTTCTAGCCTTGGGCCCAGTAACTTCTGAACATATCTCCCTCAAGAGACCTCTGTGAAGCATGAATTATAGTTATTTTATCCATCTCTCCATCAAGCATTACATACTGAACATGCCTACAGTATGTAAGGCATTATGAAATTGTTCCCTAAACGGAAAGTACCAAATGCATTTCTTGCAACTGAACATGATTCGCTCATTATAGCAAAATAAAAATTCTAATTAAAAAAAAAAATTACTGAATTTCAAGATTTTTAAAGAAACTTGTGTCCTCGTAAATAAAGAGTGAACTCTCAGAGCAGCAATTCCCCAGGAAGATAATGGCTCACCAATGTCTCCTACTTGGTGTAACACTATGTCTTACATGGCTCAGTGAACAAAAGCGAGAAGATCATTTCAGCTGTGTGTCATTTACTGGGCAGGTCATTTGGGGGAATAAACCTTGGTTGTGGAGTAAGTGGGAGGACTCCCCCCACAGCACCCCAGTAAGACAGTATACTTCTTTTGTATCTGTGTGGGTATATATATATACACATGTATACACATACACCTACCTACACCCACACCCACCCACCCACCCACACACACACACATATATGTATGCATATGCATATACCCTTTTTCCAGCTCTTTACTAAAATTAATCCATCTAATTTACCTCTAGAGTTCTTTTAGCTTGAAATTCCAGGATTCCGTGTTGCGTTAGTCAGTATCTAGCTGAACCCTGAGGAAACAGACCCCAGGACAGGACTATGCTTTTAGAAATGGGATGTTCTGGAGCATAGGGTGCTGCCTAAGGGAGGGAGATGCAGTGGGGGACCTGGGGCAGAGAAGGGACTATCAGACAGGAGGAGGACTCAGACAGGAGCTGCAGGGGGAGCAAAGTCAAAGTTGGCCATGTTTTACCCAGAGCCAGCTGTATACCTACAAAACTGGATTTAATGGCAAACCATCTAAAAATACGCTCACTGAAAACAGTCTACTGACCCTTTTCTCAGAAGAAACGATTGCAGGAGACCATAGGGTCAGTATTTGAGCTTTCATTTTAATGCCTAGAAAAATCTGCATTTACACAGTCAATTTTCTCCTACCCTGGAGTTAAACTTTTGACTTCTTTGTCGAATCCTGGCAGAAAAGGGGCCAGAGGTTAATGCGCTTAGGAATCCAAGGCTCAGTGATACAAGAACTGTATGTTCCATTATCACTTGAGCTTCTACACGTTATCAGACTGAGTAAGTACAGTCACACCCCACGCATCGACAATCCAACTATATAGCAAATGCATCAGTGGGAGCCAGGAAAGCAGAAGAGGGCCTCATGATGGGGTGGAAATTACGGGCATCAGAAAACAATGCCTGGGGTAGAGAGAGAGAGAGACAAACAGACGGACTGACAGAGCACTCTGCAGCTGTTCTATTAACCCACATTTTGTAGAGTATATTGGAGGGAAGCAAAGTCTTCTAAAGAAATCAATTAATGAAACTTGCATGCTTCAAAACTTTGCTTTGAACAAGTGCACTGATCCATGATTAGTGATGCAAGCCTGGGGGGGGGGTGAAAAAAAGGAGGGACTCAACACAGAAAAGAAGAGCCATACACAGGGACATTGCAAAGAGGACAGGTGCTCTGGATGGCTGGGACAGGGTCCCTTGCCCTTGGCTGTGAGGCCAAAATGTTATCAGCTGACCTCTAATTACAAGGAAGAGGAAATCAATATCAACGCCTAGAATTGTTTATATTCCTGTCTAAATGAGCTATAATATTATCTCATTGAGGTCAAGCTTTCTCGACAAGTTCCAAGTGAGTAAACCTCTAGAATTCTGGCTTATTTCTGTGTGTGCTGCATGTGACATCTGCATTCAATACACTTTATTCTAGTCAAGGGAAGCTCCTCGGCCTGTTATTAAGACTATTTAAGGCTAAATTGGACAGTTACAGCAAACTTAGAGTTGTGGCTTTCTAACTGACAGAAATTAGAAATGACAGAGGATCTATTTACCCAAACACAAATGCTAACATCAGCAAGAAGTGGCAGGTAATAACTATAGAAGGAAAGAAAAAAAGACAAACTCTCTAGTGCCAACCCAAGTACCAGAGAGCACAGGAGACTTCAAACCTCATCACAGACCCCTGTGATGCACATTTGATAGCCGAAGTCTACCAAAAAAAGCACAATTGGAATCTGTACATTTGACTTAAAATGTTGAAAAGTAAGCAAAGGGAGTTTTAAAATATTTTGTCCAAAGGGGTTCAAGAAAAATAGAAACTTGACTATCTCCAGCAAGTTGTCAAGAGATGTGGACGGTTGAGGTCTATACTCGGTTGAATAGCGTCTTCCCCAAAATTCTTGTCCACCCAGACTCTGGAAATATGGCCTTATTTTGAAATAGCGTATTTGCTATTTGGTGAGTGGTAAATGAAATACGGTTGGCTTTGAACGAGTCACTGAAGTTGCACAATGGGCACAGAGACACTGCAGTGTTATTTTGATTTTTTGGTAAAATATTTTTAGTGTAAAAAGGGCAGCTAAACTCTTAGTGATTTCTATAAACAGTAAAATAATCACAATTAATTTCTCTTCTATTTTTGCATTTTGCTACCTGTTGTCCCTGGGGGGCAGGGGGGAGGGCCTCCTTGAAAGAGATTATTTTATTACCCCTCATTCTACTCTGCCCAGGATGAATATGCTGGGGTAACATTGGTCACAATTCTGTAGAGTGTGCTACCTAGAAGGAACTTAACCTCCTACCAGGAGACAGTCAGGACTTGACTTGCCTTTTTCTATTTGTAACATGATTTGGCAGGGGTCCCGGACCTCAACACAGCTTAATGTGTAAGGGTACTTCATTCAACCAATGATAAGAAAACCATCTGGCCACTTAGTAGTGGATCCTGTCTTCTGCACAACCCTGCACTGGATTCCTTTCAATACAAGGGGCATGGCAGAAATGAATGCCTCCGAACTGTGTGTAAGAGGGAGGGGATCCCTTCTAGTTTAGACACTCTGTGATAGACAGCAGTCTGGTCCTTCATCTCTGAGTCAAGCACAAATCCCATGGGGATAGGTAGGAACTTGGTGGAGCAAGCTGGTAGAAGAAGCCCAAGAAAGAACCACTCTTTACTTCCCTGGAAGTCGACAGGGTAGTGTTTCTACCCAAGTATCCCTTCCCACCCCTTGGGAAGACAACAAAGCAAGAAACCTGCTGGATAGTCCAGTCATCTCAGCCTCGAGTCCCATCTGCCTGTGAATGGAGATTTTCATTGTACTGAGTTGTTCATTTAACAGATATTTGTTGAACACTAACTATGTGTCAGGTGTTCTTTTAAGCCAGGTTCAGGTACATCGGTGAAAAAATATAGCAAGATGCCTATCCTCATGGGTCTTAGAGGAATGCAGATAATCAACTATAAAGATAATCAAGAAGTATATTATGAGTATTTTAGAAGGTAATAAATGCTCTAGAAAAAGAAATAAAGCAGGTTAAGTGACTAAGGGGCTGCAGTTTCAAATAGGAAGTCAGAATGGAGCTCACTGAGAAAGCAGCATGTAAGCAGAGTTGGGGTAGAAGAGGAGGTTGGATTTGAGCTAGCTGGAGAGACAGGGCTCCAGGCACAGAGAAGAGAAGAGCTAATTCCAATATTCTGCACTAGCAGTACACGGCAGGTTTAAGGACTGTCAAGACAACATGGGGAGCAGGGTGAAGAGGGGCTCGAGTAGGAGGAGAGGAGATCAGTAGTAGGCGGTCTGATCTTGTAGAACCTTCCAGGTCATTGCATGGACTTGGCTTTTCCTCTGAAGGAAAGAGGAACCACTGGGGAGAGGGAGCAAAAGAGTGACAAGATCTGAGAGCTTTTCCAGGCTTGTTCTGGCTGCTGTGTCGATTCTAGACCATTGGGGTGTGAAGATACGCAGCAGATGTTGCGATGATCCCGGTGGCTGGAGAGTAGTAGCCGCAGGATGGTGAGAAGGAATCAGATTCTGGGCAGAACTGAAGTGACCTGTCCGAGATCACACAGCTAGTCAGCGGCAGAGCCAGGTGAGAACCCATTTTTCACACCTTACCATCGATCTCCTGCTTACTGCACGACTCCTCCCCTTGGGTCTCTTGGTGTCCTATTGCCATCTACGAATGCAGCTTTCTGTGTGGGATTGTTGGTTGTCTTGGAACTATCAGCGCATTTTAGTATATATCTTGCTGCCCACTTGGAAATGTTTGGGGGCAAGAAGGTAGTGTGTCAGCTCTCTGCTCTTTGCTAGCTACTCATCTACTCATCTGGTGATTTCTAGATGATTGTTACAAAACTTCTGGGGCATACTCTGCTCTGCAAAGGAAGGCCTAGTAACCAGGATGCCAATGTCAACTGGAAGCACCCCATGGGGATTCCATGTGGAGAGATTCTGCCCCGCTGAAGATAAACATCTGCTCCTGCCCCACGGCTACTCAAGGAAGAGGCAGATGAACCACCACTGTAATTACGACCATGCTGCTTTTCTCTTACCCAGAAGGTGTCCGAGGATTTGGTGACTCTGATCTGTTGCTTGGCAACATTCTCACTGAGTCGGTTCTCTTGCAATTTCCAATCCTATCTGGCCAGGGAGAATTCTCACAGCAGACACTCTGCTGTGTCTTGGCTTTTAGATTGTAAAAGGCAGATCTCGATTTAGATCTGACCGAAGGGATGATGCCAAGGGACCCAAAGAGCTACAAAGTCTTAACTAAACTGGACTTCAGTCTTGCCACAACTTCCTAAATGGGCCCTCCAGCAGGACCACCAGAAAGTAAGTGCCAGAAAGGCATGTTTGATTCACTGATGTGTCTCCAGCTCCTAGAACCATCCCTGACCCATTAGAAGGGACTGGCAAACGTTTATCGCATATATATGGGTAAACTACAGAATTACTCTTTGGAAATTTTTATATCCCAGTCTTTGGAGTTCTTCTTCCTGTTCTTTCTTATTTCTTGTCCTTTCTCCCTCCCCTCCTCCTCCTCATTCTTTCTCATTTTTACATCTATACTTGAGAACTCCTCCCTCACCCCACCCCTGCCCATTTCTCATTTGCCTACTACCATTCTAGTCATTCATTAAAAAATTGGCCCATCTGAATGACAACTGGAACCACAAACCACAAGCAGGTATGATCCCTGGAAGCTTCACAACAAAGTCTTGACGCATTTAGGAGGAAACACCAAAACCCAAACGATTCCAACTGTGCCCTTTTCATTTCCAGCTCCATATAAATTTGAGAGAGACTGGGACATACGGTCATGTGCATTAGTGATCGCAATGGTTTTTTTCCACACATGAGAATGAAAAGTCTTCTCAGACACTGTAGGCACCACAGGCCGACTGACCTTCTCTCCCTTTGCCCCAATCCTTCTGTCTCTCACCAAGTTGTGTTTCTATGTCCCTTGCCCCAGTGAAAACTCTAGACAGTGTTTTCTAACTCAAATCAAGTGATCTATATCAAAGTGTATATACATTTGCTAAATATGCTTAAGTTGAGCTAGTAGGTTGTCAAAGTCTAGGATGGCATTCAGATCTCTGAGCTCTCAGGGACTAAAGGTCCAAGTATTTGCCTGAATGGCTTCGTTAGTCATCCTCACACTGAAACCACCTCTGTCTCCCATCATCTCCATTTCTGTCAGTGGTATTGCACTCTCGTGGACACTCAAGCTCCAAACTAGGAAGCAGTGTGGCAGTGTTTCCTCCATATTGTAACTCAGGAATACCAGAAAGTTGTCTTCCCTTTTCCTCGGCCTCTCCAAGCAGATTTCTCCTGGTTCGCTGATGCCTGAAATTTCATAATTTATTGTTTTGGCTTAAATCCAAGAGAAGGGAAAAGATGTAAATTTCTTTTCCAGTGCTGTTTGCCTGGTACGATCTTATTTATTCTCCATATCAATCTTATGCCTCAGACCCTTTTTATACACAAGGGAACAGAAGCGCAGAGACGCTGAGTGATTTTTTTCAGGGTCACAAAGCAGGTAAATAGAAGAAATTATTGCTGAACCCAAGTTGGGTTGACTCCAGAATCTGATTTATCTACTACCCCAGGCTACTATCTATGTGAGCCTAGCACTGTATTAAGTACTTGTCTTATCAGATATATACTGTCAGAGTCAATAAGTTTATCAGGGTAGTACCTGATGAAGGTGCCCCACCTGTGGCTCTGAACTGAATAAACCCCTCACCCCAAGCCCAGCAGTCCTCATTCAATGACTGATGCAAGTGGTGTACAAAGACCAAAGCTCCCTCGCCCCTAAGGTGGGATAACCCTACACTGACTCCCAGAACTCCCCACTGGCATTAAGCTCCAGATGTCCACAAAGAGATGTGCTTTATAATACACCCTGTATTGGCTGCCATTCTGTTCCTCTCTCAGTTCCCAACTTACCCATAGATGTTTCTTGGGATCCTTTCCAAAATAAACAAACTCCTTGCACTTGAATACTTTTCTCAGGGTTCTCAGGGTCTGCCTCTTTGGAACCCAAACTAAAGCAGTCGGTAACTGTCCTAAAGATAGATTTTCAGGGGAAGAATCAGCAGACTTTGAGATCATCAAACATTGGAGGGAACAGAAGAACCGTCAGCTCTCATTTGCTCCCAAAGAGTCTTAACTAAGTCAGCCATTTATTCCTTATCTCATTAGCTACAGCAGGGAGATGAAGTCATGTATTTGTCCGTGAACAAATATTATTCCAGTTCTAGGGAAGAGGAATAAAGCAGTGTACAAAATGGCAAAATGCCCTGCCTTTACGGAGGTTATAGTCCAGGGGCTGCAAGGAGACTTCAAAAAAGAACCAACTAGATCCCCTGGAATTAAATAATACATATCTCAAGTACCTTTCAATGTATAGGTTCCCTCTTCTCCTACCACTCGCTTTGTTCTTTAAAATTTATTTGTCAGAAGAGTTTTTGTCCCCTATAGCTTGGATTTTGCTGCTTAGGTCCTTACAGTGCCACTTAATACTTCACTGTATTTTCTGAAAATTGCTAGTTACATCTAGAAGCACGATCAGAATCACGTTCAAATTTGGGGCAACATGATTTCATGGGACCGTGTATTTCCATCAGGAGGCATACAGTGTCACCTTGTCTCTTTTTGTGATATCACAAGCTGTCGGTAATCATTACCAAGAGTTATTATTAGCTGGAATACTCCCATAAAGAAAAATTATTCCATCAGCTATTTGGTTACTCTAAAGGACAGTTCATTTAGGAACAGCAAAATACACAACTTTTTTTCTTTGTCAGTTCTCAAAATAAGACGGTTCTTTAACACCTTCCAACATGGCCTAGGAAGTTTGTTTCTTTTGAGTGCTACTGTGAATTTATAGATCCACTGGGAGCCTCTCCAGCTTGGCTCCAAGGTCACTCTGGCATGACGCTAGCAATATTGGGTTATTTAGTCCCTGCTTGCTGGTATGACAAAGCGTTCTGAACTCATCTTTACAGTTCTTGTCTTCAGACATGGAATCAGCAATTTCTGCCAGGATTAGCTGCCTTTCAATTCCATTCTTAGCAGGAAATATACATTAAAAAAAAATGCTGTCTGATCAGTAAATAAATCCTTGTTCAACTTCAACAAGTAACGCTAGGTGTTTGCTGACCCATTGCTTCCCAGGACGTAAGTTTCTGAAGGCAGCCAGCTGGACCTCCTGGGTGCTCTGGCTGGGAGAACTTTCTCCCTCCTGACTAAATCAATAAGGCAGCTGACCTCAGTTTTGGATTCTCTCTCTTCTCTGTCCAGTTCACTCTCTTCTCTGTCCAGTTCACCATCCACATGACTGTTCTCAGTAATGCACTAGGACAGCAGAGGTGACACACTTCTGAGCACCTCAGTCACCTCCTGGCCATTTACGGTGGTGTCCTACTCCCTCTGGAGCCCTCTACCAGGCACTGGAGAGCAAAGAGGTGAAAAATAAGGAGCTCCTGTCCAGTCAGGGGACAGAATGCATCCTCTAAAAAGTCACAAGGTGGGGCGCCTGGGTGGCTCAGTCATTGGGTGTCTGCCTTCGGCTCAGGTCATGATTCCGGGGTCCTGGGATCGAGCCCCACATCGGGCTCCCTGCTCGGCTGGGAGCCTGCTTCTCCCTCTCCCACTCCCCCTGCTTGTGTTCCCCTCTCTCACTGTGTCTCTCTCTGTCAAATAAATAAAAAAAAAATCTTTAAAAAATAAATAAATAAAATAAAAAGTCACAAGATGATGGGCAGTATGCACAGGAAATGCTAGAGGATTCTGGAGGGCTATGGAAGGACCCTTGTGGAGGAGGTAGTGATACAGCTGAAGGGTTCCTGTGGCAGAGATGATGCTCTACCATTTCCACTTCCTGGGCACCTAGGGAGATGGCATTTCCTTACTTCCTCTGGCCACTGGAATGTCTGTGTGAACATTCCAGGTCTGGCCTTTGAGGGGGAGAAGAATGACCCCTCAAAAATGTATCTTTGTGTCTTTACCTTGCTGGTCTCCCTCCCTTCGTGCTCTGCCCCCTCGGAGCTCCTATAGCCAGGCCTGTGCCTCTGGGCAGGATGCTTCTCAGGTGGGTGTCTGCAGTCACGGTTCACAAGCAGACATATCTGTGCCTCAGAGTTGAGTAGAAGGTTCCTTGTCTCAGACACCTAACAATTCTTTCACCCAAAGGGAATTTCGGGGTTACACTGAGACACGTAGAGCCTTTTACCTTCTCTCAAATCATATTGCCAAAGATCCACCTACTACTCCTGTGAGCAGAACTTCTCAAATAGGAAGAGAGAGTTCTGGGTGGGGATATAAACTGCTTAATCATATCCTCATCCTAGAATATTACACAGCCTTCACACACCTTACCTCCAGGGTGACTGTCATGAGTCACTAAGGAGCAAGGTCATGCCCAGGATCCGTCCACTGACTCTCTTCCCACTGGTGGCTGTGATACTTTCCTTTTAAAAATAACATTTATCATTTATTCTCGTTAGAAGAAAAAGCCATTTACTGTTGAAAACACTTGAAACAGATTAATAAAATAAAGAAAATGAAAATCACCTATAATCCAGTAATCCAAAAATATAGTCTGGGGTGTAAACTTCTGGTCATTTCGAAACCTCAGGGGATGTGTGCCTAGTGTTGGTTTCGTCCTCTCAAGCAAGATCGTATCACACGTGCTGTTTCGTAACCTGCTTTCTTCCTCGACAATATCGAGTGGCCATTTCCCGATTAACTATTCTCTAGGACCAGACCTATATATCCGGAGTACAGGTGGTTTCACCGGGGAGGCGGGCCCTTCTCACAAAGAAGGATTTGTCTGTCGAGGCTCCGGCCGCGCTGGGCTGGGCGCCCGGGGTCACGCGGGTTCCCGCACATCTGCCAAACCAAACAGACGGGAAGGATGAAGGAGGCCTGGGGGGCAGCGCTTGGCCTGGGCAGCGAGGAGCAGAAATCCCCGAAGCACCCACCCGAGTCAGCCCCGGAGGCCTTGCGGCCGCCTTGCTGCGCTCATCCCCAGGCCTCCCTTTCAGACACTAGTCGCTGGGCCCTGGAAAGCGGAGTTTCTCCACTTTTCTTCCACTGGACTTCTGGGGTGGGGGTGAGCACCCGGGGCGGGCGAGGCGGGGGGTGTGTGCCCGGGGGCGGGGGGGGCGCAGTCTAAGCCGGACGCGTCCTTTCTCTTTCCGGACCCCGCCGCCCCCTGCAAAGAAAAGGTCGACTTAACACCGCTTCACCTCCTCGGTGGGCTTTGCAAAATCCTTAGAAGGCATTCTGCGCTATGCTTCGGAATCGCAGCGGCGGGCGGGGGGCTTGCTGCGCTCGCGGCCAGTTGCTGCACCGTCTCTCGGACGGAAGCGGGCACCGGCGGCGGGAACGTGAAGGCCACACCTGGACCGCGCGTGCGCGTGCGCGTGCGCGGCGGCGGGGGGCGGTGCGTGCGCGTGCGCGGCGAGGAGCGGGCGGGAACGACTGCACCCGCGGCCCAGGGATGCGGTCCGCCTGCACGGAGTCCGCAGCTCGGGTCGGCTAAGTGCCCGGAAACCTGCGTTCGTCGCAGCTGGGCTCCGATTTTAGAGCAGAAAGGCTCATTGTCCTGAAGTCACCCAGCCTGTCTGACCACTTTGGAAGTTTCTTTATGCTCCGCGGAACTTGGAAGGAGTGGTCCCACGGGTCACAGGCTTATTAATGCAAGAGCTTTACCCGGCGAACCTCTCTGGGAAGGGGCAACCCTGGTTTAATTTTCTGTGAGGCGGGGGAAGCAGCGCTTGAAAAGAAGGGTTCTGCTTACCCAGTGCGCTCAACCTTTAAGAACAGTAAACACTTCACTGTTGGACGGGTGGGGGTATTCGTAACCTGAAATTAACATTTCATTTTGGTGGGAAGTAGTCGCAAGCACGTGTGCATCGACAAAGACTGTGCTCTGGCCAAACTTTCTTCTGGCTCTTGTGAGCACTCTAGGTCTGCCCCTGGGCTTCTCTCTGACCTTGGAGAATCCTGTTTGAGCAAGAATGCTGCTAAAATCAGTTTAGGGGAAATCCTCCACCCTGGTATCTGATCCCCTGGGCTGCCTGCAGAATTCTGTGGAGTTGGTCTAGCAAGAATCCCCCTCACCCTTACTTCTTGGCGATTTTCCATCCACTGACCCCCCACCCTGTGCCTTGACCGTACATCCCCACTTGTCCTTATTAGAGTCCAACTTCCTTGAGTCCAACCTCTTTCCCCTACAAAGCCCCATTGCAGTAGCCCCTCTTGAATAAAGGCTGCCTTACTGTCTTTATTTAACAAGTGTTCTGGGGCGCCTGGGTGGCTCAGATGGTTAAGCGTCTGCCTTCGGCTCAGGTCATGATCTCAGGGTCCTGGGATCGAGTCCCGCATCGGGCTCCCTGCTCCTTGGGAGCCTGCTTCTCCCTCTGCCTTTCTCTCTCGCTCTCTCATGAATAAAAAAAAAAAAAAAAAAAAAAAATGTTCTGAATAATTTTTTAGCAGTTTCTGATGGTATGTGTATGCATGTGTGGGTGTGTGTGGTGAAAGATCCATCATGTAATGATTACTTGTTTTTATTTTTTATTTTTATTTTTTTTTAAGATGATTACTTGTTTTTAAATAATCAGTATGAAATACATTCATTAAACCATTTCTTCCGTGTCAGGCTCACACGCTAATTTCCCAAGGTAATCATTTAGAACATCTATAATGCTGATTTTAAGTGTATGGTTGAAAAAGGTTCTCAGGAACGAATGTCTGATATCAGTATCAGTTTGAAGTTATCTCACTGATTTTATCCATACAGCTGAAGATTCCTTGTAAACTTTATTCTTCAAAGCAGAAGCTTTAAACAGGTGAACATAGGCACAAATATCCCTCTGTTCAGATGGAGGGTGCTGGGTCTCCTTTAGAGAAGATGACAGCTGCTACCAAAAATGTCATAAAGCCATCACACCAACCTGACATTCCTGTCTTCCAGCTTTCCATTTAGAAGATCTTTACATAGAATAGAGGGGGAAGGAGAGGACAAACCAAAACAAAACCAAAGTTCTTGAATAACATTATAGGTCAGTGAAGAGATGTAACATAATGGAGGACCTCGTTAGGATGCTGATTTAACTATAAAAAGACTTCTTGGTCAGTCAGGGAAAATTGCATACGTATTGTGTATTAGACAATCATAGGGAATTTTTGGTAATTTTTTAGATGTAATAACGCATTGCGGTTTTTTAAAAAAGTCTTTTTATTTCTGGGTGAAATTATCTAAGAGAATTAAAAGTACATAGCCAAGTATTGATGGGGATTGAAGCTGAGTACAAGCATGGAAGTGTGTTATAGCCTCTATTTTTGTGGATGTTTGGTTCTTTTCTTTTTTTTTTTTTTTAAGATTTTTATTTAAGAGAGAGCAGGAGAGGAGAGAGGGTCAGAGGGAGAAGCAGACTCCCCGCTGAGCAGGGAGCCTGATGTGGGACTCGATCTGTGGGACATGATCCGGGATCATGACCTGAGCTGAAGGCAGTCGCTTACCAACTGAGCCACCCAGGCGCCCTGTTTGGTTATTTTCATGATAAAGAAGATGAAATAAAGGGAGGGTAATCAGAAGTGAAGAAAATATTGTAAATGTCGTCTGAGTACCTGGGGTTCCTGATCACCTCTGATAAACATGGGCTATCACAGAGCTCCTCCCATCTTGTATTTAAATTATTCCATATTTCATCTTGAAGATAGAGCTGCTTATTCCTTCCAGTTAAATTTGGCACTTGAGATTCAGTCCTTTGCTGAGGCAATGGTTGTTGATGATCACCCAAGATCAGTTTTCAAACGATACAGTTCTTCAATCTGATGAGCATTTTAAAACTGAAAAGAAGACAAGCTTCATCCCCGAAGTCCTTGAATGCCCATGGAAAAAGCCCTGTTCCCCAGGAGCAGTGGTGAGTTTCATTCTCTCCCCTCCGATTCTCTTATCACCGAATGTGAACCTCGCAGGTAGGAAAACATGCTAGCTGACTCAATAGCTGACAAGCCTACGCTCAAACCACTTGGCATGCCACGGTGCTGGAAGAAGTGGATGCCAGCCAGCATACCCTTCATCACCCGCAAAGCTCTTCCCTGCTTTATTTTACCAACTTTTATATGTCCTCCCAAACTCACTCTCCTAACAGTATCTGTTCAAGGATAATGAAAATGCATTTCCATACAAGAGAAGCACAATCATTTTATTACAAATATGAAAGCAACTCTGATGTTGCTCCTGGAGGAGCCCTGGCCTCCCTGCAGCTTCCTCACCTCCACCTTATGTTCACCTCCACCGTGGTTCCTTTCTCCCTTGTTTTTTTAGTATTTCTTTAATCGCGTGCATTTTCAGACATATCCAAAAATAGAAAGAAATGGGCCCCCCAGGCACCCATTTACCCACCTTTAGCAATTACCAACACTTTTCAAATCTTATGTCATCCATTTCTCTCTGACCTAGTTTGTTTCTTTCCACCACCACTACCCCCCCCCGCCCCCGGAACACTTTAAAACAAATCCCAGACACCCATCAGTTCACCAGTCTTACACCCACTTCTGCATTTATCACCTTGTAGTGGAATTTATTTGCAATGGCATTTTCCCCCGTTGGTCTGCAAGAATGGGGTGTCCTTTATGGCTTCAGCAACCAGCACGGAAACTGGCCCATGGTACGTGGTCAGGAAACACTTGGAATTCAAATGTGTGAGTAAGGGCAGCTGCTTTATTGCCATAGACTTAAGAACATAGGTCTTGGGGCACCTGGGTGGCTCAATGGGTTAAGCGTCTGTCTTTGGCTTGGGTCATGCTCCTGGGGTCCTGGGATCAAGCCCCGTGTTGGCCTCCCTGCTCAGGGGGGAGCCTGCTTCTCCCTCTCCTGCTCCCCCTGCTTGTGCTGTCAAATAAATGAATAAAATCTTAAAAAAAAAAAAAAAAAAAGAACATAGGTCTTAACTCACAGAATGCACAATGCCTCAGTCATCAAAAACATGCTCAGCCCAAGACTCATTATTTAGGACCAAGCACCTGCAGCGTTAGAATGGTGGCTGCGTGCAGTGCCTGGACTTGAATGCCAGCTCTGCCCCCACTTGTGGTGTCGCTGGTATGACAGACTGTATGTTCCGGAGCCGGTGGCAGTTTCTCCTGTCCCACAGTGTTCTTCCCATTTCGCCATCTGGAGGTAGAGTTTATGTTCCCTCCTCTTGAAGCTGGGTGGGCTTGTGGCCACGGTGGAAGTGCTGTTACGTGGTAGCCCAGGTGAGGTCACAAAAGGCGGGGTGGTTTCCACCTTGCTGCCTGGGGCCCTCCCGCTGGAGCCCCCAGACCCCTGGAAAGGTCCCGAGACTCGATGAGCACAGACTCCCAGCTAGCCCCCTCCCGCTTCAGCTCCTGGTTCCATTCCCGCCTATTCTAACCGGTTATGGTCGGACCACAATCGCCTGAGTGACCCCAAGCCAGAACTGCACAGCCACGCCCCTCCCGAATCCCTGACCCACTATGACCGTGGAAGATCATGACTGTTGTTTTAAACCGTCAACTATTGGGGTGATCTGTTCTGCAGCAAGAGAAAACCAGACCACTGGCTCTCTGTGCCTCAGTTTACACATCTTTAAAATGTTTCCTACACATTAGGCTATTGGGGGTATTAAAGAGGTAAGGTAAGAACATCGCTGGCACATGACAGCACTGAATAAATGTTGGCAATCATCACTTGGGAAACACACATAGTTTAGAAATCTTGCCCAACCTAATAAAGATAATATTTGCAAGATCCCATTTGCCACGCATGCTGATACCTTGAATAAGGGTTGCAATTACATAAATAAAAAATAAACTTCTACGTTGCTACGAGTTCTTTCAGTAATTGGAGAGAAAACAGAATTTTTTAAAAATGCTTTGACTTCGCTTCTACTTCCCTGTCTGGTAAAACATGCTTCAGAAAGCAGACACAGGCATGAGGAAATTGAGTGGAAGAGAAAGTTTCTCACAAATGGGATCTTTGGAGAAAACCTGAGTATAATTACGCAATGAATTTATTTTTCACGAAAACATGGGATTTTATACTCATTTAGGGAGTCTTCTGGGGCTCAGATGTGTCTGAGAATGGCATTGTTTGCTAAAATAAAAGGAAGATATTTTGGGAGCTCACCAAAGGATGGCATGAGTATCATTTGTGAAACATGTTTCAAAACAAATCCATATGCATGGAAAAAAAAGGCATCTGAAATGCCAGGATAATAAAATAAAATGTGAATGTTTTCTTATATATCTTAATGCACAGGGTCCATGATTTTTAACTTAGCATCCATTCATAACACTTCCGTTAGAGAGGATTTACAGCATGAGAAAAAGGGGAGGGGGCAGGAGAAAGTGCACATCCCTATCTGGTGTCACGTACTCATTTAACACTCTCATCACTAATGCTACACATCACTGCTTCTTGAAAATTATAGTCACAGCTATGTATTTACTGTACCATTAATACAACTCATCCCTAAGTATTGTCTACACTAGGAGTTGGGACACTTAAGGTGCTTTTTCAGGGGTTTTAGGTCAAGAGGGGGAGCTTCAGAAAGGTATTTGCTGGGACATGAGCCCTCCCCATTAGAAGGGTAAGCCTGACTTTTCCACTGAAAAGCAGCCTGTCACTCATTACAGTGCCAACGTGGGAATCCCAACTCAGAATTCTTTTTTTTTTTTTAAAGATTTTATTTATTTATTTGAGAGAGAAAGAATGAGAGACAGAGTACATGAGAGGGGTTAGGGTCAGAGGGAGAAGCAGGTCCCCGCCGAGCAGGGAGCCCGATGCGGGACTTGATCCCGGGACTCCAGGATCATGACCTGAGCCGAAGGCAGTCGCTTAACCAACTGAGCCACCCAGGCGCCCCCCAACTCAGAATTCTTAACAGCTATTATCAGGGACAGTATCGACTGGAAGACGTTTTATATTCTGGGTGGAGATATAATATGGGCCATGAGAGAAAGGACTGAATTAAAACAAAAGAATCCCTCCTTCAAGTAACATGGAAAACATTTTTTAAAAAATCCACTCTAGGAGTCATGCTCCATAAAACCTTTTAAAGAATTCAAGGATAAGGAACCTAAGACTTTATGAAGAAAACGGAGTTGAAATGGCAAATATAACTTTTAGGACCGTAAAATACAAAATTAGGCAAATTAAGAATTTTTTCTCCCCCAGATATTATCATCCTCCTCTTCCTCACACTTGACACTCGATAATCTCATCTCTGATTATCGAGTGCTTACCTTCATGATACTGGAGGTCAAACTTCAGTGTATCCCTCCCCCAAATTTATAATGCTTTATTAAAAACGTATCCCCGACTGGTGTGTTAGGCTGGTAGAGAGCAATATTGAGAACCAGATGGCATGCAGTAAAATACAGAAGGTAAGAGACTTTCATGCGGACAATGATGGTGGCTGATGGCCCGGAGGCAGGAAGGGAAAGGCCAGGAGCTTCTCCCCAACACCTGTAACTTGAGTTCATTAACAGCTCCTGCAACACGGTGAGTTTTGATTTGTTGGACCCAGGGAAGATGATGATTTCATGTATTTTTGTTTTTTGGGGTTTTTTTTAAAGATTTTTATTTATTTATTTGACAGAGAGAGATAGCGAGAGTAGGAACACAAGCAGGGGGAGTGGGAGAGGGAGAAGCAGGCTTCCTGCCGAGCAAGGAGCCCGATGTGGGACTCGATCCCAGGACCCTGAGATCATGACCTGAGCCGAAGGCAGACGCTTAACGACTGAGCCACCCAGGCGCCCGATTTCATGTGTTTTTGAATTAAAATTTTCAATTTAAAAATAAGAAAACAGAATATATTCACAGTAGAATTCATGATATGGGAGAAGTCCCAGTTGGGAAAGGGATGTTCTATTGCCAACTCTGAGGACGATCGAGGGAAAGCACAGAGCTGTTTATTTGGTGTATTTAGAGTAGCAGAGTTACACAGACCACACGGACGTCAATGCTAATAATTTTAAGGTGCATGCCGGTGATTGATTCATTCTAACACCTACTTCGTGTTTGACGATGGCAGTGTGAACATCTGAGATCTTTATTACATAAGCCCTGCACCAGACCATCTTCACATTCAAAGGAACCTGTGAATTTTTCAAGCTGCAGATTATATCCCATTAGTGGGTCAGGAAGTCAGTTTGGTAGGTTACACTAGGGATGTTTTGTAACAAAACAGAAGAGGATATAAAATATATGAGCATATGAGCATATGTAAGTATTTCATGATCTTGTTTCAGTTTTAGACATTTACACATATACACATATCTGTACTCATGTATGTACTCAACTATACAAACACTGACACATTCTGGTAACACAGACCTTCCAGTAGACGCAGGCATATTCTTTTCAGCCTTCCCATTAAAAATAATAATAATAATAATACAGATGTCCCTGGTTGAGCACTACTGGGGGTCAGCCGCTGTTCCCAAGCTCTTCTCCTGTATTGTTATTATCCTCCTAATAAGGCTAGGAGACGGGTATTACCATCATCTATACCTTACAGACAAGAAGACTGAGATATGCAGAGGGTGGGTAACTTGAACAGCACGTCCCCAGCAAGCAGCAGAGCTGGGATCTGATCCTGGACAATCTGACTGTGGAGACAAGCTCCTGTGGTCTCTACCTGAAAAGCCGAGAATGAAGGGAACCTGTGTCCTCCTGAGACAGAGAGCCCGTTCCATTGTCCAAGTCTCCCCGAAGGCTAGGAGAGCCTGTTCTAGAACGCAGATCTCCCAATTTCCAGTCCTATGCTCTCCCTAGACCTCATACAACAGTATTCTTAGTAAAAGCGGCTTTGTGAAGCTGAAATCAAACAAGTTCAAAATAAATGAAAGATACACATAAGTGTCCTTGAAAGAGAACGTATTTATTTACATCACTATTTCCTTTTTACAACTCCTACACTTTTAAATAATAAAATTTTCCATGAAATCCGGTAAGCTTTAAATTAAGATATTTTAACAGAAGAAAATGGTCACAATATGATTTTTATTTACATGAATTTCCAAGAGTTTTAAATAGTCCTTTTGAAACAGCACAATATAACTAAAAGCTCTCATTTAGAACTTGCATCCTTTCCCAAAACTTTTAGTTTAAGAAATTAAGCTTATAATCACCTCCCTGTAGCTTGGATTCTTAGAGACGAAGATCTGTCAACACACTTACAAATACAAACCTGCTTCATAAATGATCCACGTTTTGGCTGCAAACGGCACCTCTTTCACATGTTTTGACACTAAGCAGAGATTTTTTTAGACACATTAAATTGCTTTGATTAAAACTTTCTGGAAATCTTCTGGATCAGTCACACAACTGCTTACGAGTCGGGATGCATGGATTCTGAGCACTCAATTCAATGTACGAGGATGGGCTGATCTCCGGTTCAGCCAACTTTGAAAGCGACGCACTGGGATCCGGAACTTCCCTGGGGCAGCTTAGGTGCACTTTCCTCCCCATGGCCAGTCCTGTTTGGGAGGCTCCCTTTTCCTCTGATACTGCACATGCGAATCACTTACTTTAAGAACCTACTATTCATAAAACGACTTCCAACAATAACAATGGTCAGACATCCTACCATGTCACACTGAGCGATTTCAAATATTTATTAGTGAAACTACAAGAGAGGATAGATTTTCCTAATATTTTAAGCATGAGTTCCTCTGAAGAGTTGGTATAACATCCATTAAAAAATAGAAAAGATTAACTTTTACCATGATCAAAGCTACAGTTCACAATGAAAAGCTTCTACAGCTCCGTCCACCTTCTCTGTAAGAACAGCCGAGGGCCAGTCTTGAACTTCACGCGGCAGCAATAGAGGTATCATCCGCGAGCCGGCCCTGTGGCTTGAAAGAGGGGAAACAAGATGGGTTTATAGGACAGTAACAACAAAAGCTCTATTAATTGAAAAGATCTCGAAATTCTTGAAACTGTTTCATAAAAATGGAATAAACGGGTGCAAGTATCAAAATCACAGTTGTTTCTCTCCTTCTTTCATCCCACCTTCTCGCTTCACTTGAACCTGGGGGGTGGGGGGGCAAGCTGCAGGGCCAAGGTGCTGCCCCTGTCCCCTCTGCCCCCAGACACCGACACTGCCAGACGACCGCATACCTCCACTGGCTGAATCCGCCTCATTTAACTAGTCACTAATTCTCTCCACCCTGGGTCCAAGCAGCTACTGATCGCGCGCCGGGAGCGTGTGAAAGGGAACCCATTTGCCATCCCTGCTTCAGGGATAGTTTTATTTTCTCTCTTGCTCAGGGCCCTCCTGCATCCCACACTTGAAGAAGGCCACAAACCTGAGCTAATAGACAAGTTCCTTGGGGATTCAAGGCCTCCCAATCTCCTGTTTGTAAGAAAGAGCAATTCACAATGAACTAGAATATCTAACAATGAACACTATAAGGATGGAAGCAGCAGATAAAAACAAAAATTTCCCTTTCCCTAAGGTCACTGAAAAAAAACTTAAAACATCATATCACAAGAGTAAAGGCTACGAATGAATAAAAGTTATCGTGACTGTGCTTAGGGGTAAAACTTCTGACAGGTTAGCAATACCTCAGGGAGTCATCAAGGAACTGAAAAAATGAAATTCTTTTTTTTTTTTTTTAAGATTTTATTTATTTATTTGACAGAGAGAGACACAGTGAGAGAGGGAACACAAGCAGGGGGAGTGGGAGAGGGAGAAGCAGGCTTCCCGCAGAGGAGAGAGCCCGATATGGGACTCGATCCCAGGACCCTGGGACCATGACCTGAGCCGAAGGCAGTTGCTTAACAACTGAGCCACCCAGACGCCCTGAAAAAATGAAATTCTTGCAAATAATCTTACTAAGCAGATGTACATTAGCAGACCTTTGTGGGAAAAGCATGAGATGGTATTCAGGACATGAAATAGAACAGTGTTACAACATCATCACCAAAAGCCACTGGCTGGGCTTGAAGCAGAATGGTTCGGGTGAGACTCCCTGAGACAGGGAGGGAGCACTCCTGCTTTCAGTATGTTTTACGCATGTATGTGTGTGAGTGTGTATGTGTGCGTACATACGTATACGTGTGTGTGTGTATGCATGCATACGTGTGTAAGTTAGGCCTCTGACATTCAAGGCAGGAACGGAATGAACTAAAGAACAGGTGCTTGGTCTTTCGTACTTCACATAATCTTTAGTACTGATAGAGGATGTTCAGTTTCAGAAACGGAATAATGGGGGCACCTGCGTGGCTCAGTCGGTTCAGCGTCTGCCTTCGGCTCAGGTCATGATCCCCGGGTCCTGAGACCGAGCCCCGCGTCTGGCTCCCTGCTCAGCGGGGAGTCTGCTTCTCCCTCTTCCTCTGCCCCTCTCCCTGCTTGTGCTCTCTCTCTCTCTAATAAATAAAATAAAATCTTAAAAAAAAAAAAAGAAACGGAGTAATCGCTCAACCTGATTATATCCTTACCAAACACAGCTTTACCAACAGGGACAGAAGACAAGAACATCATGCAATCAGAAAACTGGAATCTACTTTTCAAAGGAATAAAAATATTAATCCGGCCTTGAAGTAGGGCAGCACTGTCCAAGAGAACTTTCCGTGATGAGGGAAAAGCGCTAGTTAGTGCTGTCCAACATGGGAGTCACCTGTCACACTGATTACTGGGCACTTCAAGTGCGGCTAGTGCAACTAACTCACTCTTAAATTCAATTCTAACTAATTGTCATTTACATCTCAGTAGGGCTCACATGAGTAGTGGCTACCGTACTGGAATAGCACAGCTCTCGAGTTTAGTAAAGGTGTGAAGGGATGTACAACTTGAGTCAGTAAGACTTCACTAAGTGGGAAAAGGGTAATCCTCAGTCACCGTCCTTAGTGTGACAGGTCAAACAACTGTCACTCTAAGATTTCCCAGCTGATAAAGGAGCCGGCTCTGAGGATCCCAGCCAACTTTTTCGGCAGCAGTCAAGTTACTAGAAGGTAGTACTTGTATTTAGAAAAAAGAGCATGGCAGTTAGGAAAAGGCATGCAAGCTATGCTAAAACTTACAAATGTTTATTTTCCTGGAACCTTTCCTAATGGATTTAAGCACTACCCAGAAGAGGTTTACTGTGGAAGAACGTCAGAAGACTGAACTAGCATGAGCTGGGATTAGGTTGGGTGTACCGAGCCCTACAGGGAAAGGAATGAGATTCATCGGTGGACCCGAAATCCTGATTCTCCAAAATGATCAACTCTCACATCTCAAACAGGCGATGTTTGTGCAGCTCTGTCTATGTGGACACCTACTCCCACGTAACTAAAGCTGTACTTCTGAATTTGGGAATAGCACACTTCAGGAGGTCACTCATGCCGCCACTGCTCCCCACCCGGGTCTTAAGACCTTTCCCCTGCAGGGTGACCTCAGACATGACAGGAGGAACAGCAACAGACGTGGCCTGTGAATGTGAACAGGTGGAAATGTTTAAAAAGCCACAGCTGGGGCGCCTGGGTGGCTCAGCGGGTTAAGCGTCTGCCTTCGGCTCAGGTCATGATCCCAGGATCGAGCCCCAAGTTGGGCTCCCTGCTCAGCGGGGAGTCTGCTTCTCCCTCTGGCCCTTCTCCCACCCCCTGCTTGTGTGCACACACTCTCTCTCTAACAAATAGAATCTTTTTAAAAAATTTAAAAAATTAAATTAAATTAAAAATTAAAAATATTGGGCGCCTGGGTGGCTCAGTTGGTTAAGCGACTGCCTTCGGCTCAGGTCATGATCCTGGAGTCCCAGGATCGAGTCCCGCATGGGGCTCCCTGCTCGGCAGGGAGTCTGCTTCTCCCTCTGACCCTCCCCTCTCTCATGCTCTCTCTTTCTCATTCTCTCTCTCAAATAAATAAATAAAATCTTTAAAAAAAATAAAAATTAAAAATTAAAAATATTAAAAAATAAAAATAAACTGCTGTTGGCGTGGGCAGAGGTTATGTGGGACATCTCTGTACTTTCCTCTCAATTTTACTATGAACTTAAAACTGCTCTAAAAAAACAGTAAGTCTTTTTAAAAAGCCACTGTTTAAACACAGGAGATCTGTAAGTATGAGATTTTTCTTTTACAATTTACAAGTATGGTGCTTGGAAACGTTAATAAATTATTGTTTTGCAGATGGAAAGATAAAAAAAGCTAGGAAGATTATAAAGGATACATTAACACAGACTAATTTATCATTTACCCCATCCCAGATTATGTAAAGAAGGGACAGTTCCTCCAAACTTGAATAAGACAGACACAAAAGAGGCAAGAAGAAGCAATGTGACATGTCCTTCCAAAAGTGAGTATAAAGTTAAAACAGAAGACGGTGCACAGGACGCATATATATCCATGTATACCGGAGTTAGAGGAAGCCACAACCAGCTGGAGGGAAGCCTTAATGTTAGGCAGTGAGAACAGCTTCAGTGGAGGTGAGCGCTGTGCTGAATGAACCTCCCGCGCAGCCTGGTTCGCTCTCCCCCACACCGACCATGACCATCCTACACATTCCTTTACCCCAGGAACCTGGACATGGTCCCCGTGTAAAACATCAAAACATTCAACCCGAGTACAGCTTCTGACACAGGATCATTTTCAGAAAAGGCCCCAGTCCAGTATTACACAGAGAATTAGGAACATTCAAGGATCATGTTTAGAAAGCGGATCCATTTTGACTAAAAGCTAGTTACAAACTAACTACAATGTAAAAACATACTTTACTAAGCCAAAGAAAAAACACGTCAAAGGATCCTGCGAAGGTAAATCATTATCCACCTAAGGGAATGAAAACCTTTGAAATTAGATTCTGTGAAATAATAGCAACTTTACAGAAATGGAACAGCAATACCGCCAAACTCATATCAGAACAATCAAAGCTATCAGTCCCAAAATACTGTTTAGTGAAGCTTATGTGAAAGAAATACCTCTGGTTTGTTTTCAAGACAGGAGACTTAAAAAGCGGACAATTTCTAAGCCTTACCTTTACAAAAATACTGGTAGGTATAAAACGCCTGAGCAGTTGATTTGTGAAGTGAGGAAATCTAAGCAGGTTGACGTTGAGAGACGGCAGTTGCTGGTATCCAGCCATCAGAGGGTAGAAATTATATAACATTTCCTGTTCGGTGCCAGGGAGGATCCGTAATCGAATCTATAGCATAACAAGTTGTAGAGAAAGACAATCAAATGTACACGCTTACAGCATCCTCACGGTGTCACCCCTTAATTATTCACAAGTGAGTGGACACCCAAATCTTTCTGGTGAAATGTTCTCTCTCTCCTTATTCCACCTTCCAGACAGATTCTAAAATACAGGGCTGAATCAGGATGACATGGGGACTACACAGATAATAAATGCATTAAAAAAATGTGTGTGATTTCTACCAAGATCTAAACAGCAACTTGCACCAGCTTAAAAAGGGGAACACGACGTGGATCAAGATTTTGTGTCTGAGACCAGGTAGATTTTTTACAGTCACAGTATGTTATGAGATAACTGGTAGAAAGGTATCTTTGTATACATTACGTCAACATAAGACAAACTAGTTGTTTCCGGTGTTTTCTTTTAGGGGATCTTTGTGGCGAGGTAAATGATGTCAGGGGAAAAAAGGATGTTTGTCATCATATATTTTTATAAATCAATATGTGAAAAAGATCAGGACACTCTAGAGAAGCTTCCTCATTTGCAAATGAGTACATATAGTATGTTCATGTGTCAAAGATAATATGTCGTGTACCAATATATAAGAGCTAATATGATATGTATTCTATGTTATAGACTTAAATTAGTGAATGGACTTACAGTATGTTTCATATATAATTCTATTTTACATTTAACAACAAACATAGCATTCAGAATATGTACAGCACAGATGACTAGTCCAGGTAGACACTTCTGAGTATTAGGACACATTTGTTCTTCTAGTTATGTCCTCGTTGATGAAAAGTATTCACTGACTATTGAGTGGTGTCTGTTACCCACTTTGACAGTAGAAGACAGAATTCTCACTGAAATACGGTTTTGCCCGAAAGTGTATGTTCCATTCAAAAACATGAGGAACTTTTCCACCTCTGATTTGAATGAGTGAATCAAAACACCTGAACGATTTTTTATTTTAAATATAAAATCGTGTCTAACTGTGCCAAAGATGAGTAAATTCTGTGCAAGATCAAAAATCTCTAAAAAGGTTCACTGATCGTTCAGAAGAGAAATCAGGCTTTTTTTTTTTTTTTCTAAGTAGGCTCCACACCCAACATGGGGCTTGAACTCATGACCCCAAGATCAAGAGATGCATGCTCTTCCGACTGACCCAGCCAGGCGCCCCAGAGAATCAGGCTTTTAATATGGGTAGTAAGGCCTCTAGGCCTCCAGTTAAAAGACACAAATACACACACTCACACACACACATACACTCAGTAGTAATAAAAGGGAAATCTAAAATTTTCAGGAATCCTATTACAGTCCAAGGATTTGTAAATTCTTGTTTTATAAAAAGAAAGAACTTACACGTATGATCTCAATGTGAAAAGGGTTACCCACTTAATCCACCTCTATATGAATTATACTTAATCTTTAAAAGTGGCTAAAAGTGCTCACTTTGGCAGCACATATACTAAAAGTGGCTAAAAATTTCCTATCAAAATAATAGGGACCACAATCAGCCTTATCAGTTCGTTTGTAAAAACTTATATATAGCTCTCCATTTCCTGGCCACACTTCTCTATCTACATAAGCAACCCAATGAGATATGACCTATACCTGTTTAAGACCTGAGAACATGAAGGCATCACTGGGCTCCACAGAAATCTCTACATCTTGAACTAAGTTAGTCTTGTTCTGTAGGTGATACTTGACAGGTAAGGATTCTCTGACACGCCCAAATGATGGCAGATCTGCAGAGAAAGAGGCCACATTTCTTTTGGTTAAAAAAATAGTTCACCATTTATGAGTTCTTTTTGTAAATGAATCTCATTCCGTAGACATAGGATTATTTAAATTAGTGATAATACTCACTCTCGCTAAATAAGAAAATTCTTTGATTGGACAACAGCCCATGGGACTATGATAAAACAGGCCCAAAAGAATCAAGTCTCCTTCTAAAGCTGATTGGCCTAGAAAGAGTCGTGGCTATCAGGAGGTGAATTATATTTTAGGAACTTTTCAAGTCTATAAAACATTTCCCTAAATATCCATCACAGTTCAAGAAGGAATGATAGGCATCACGTGCCTCCTGATGGGAGCACACACCATTAGCTATGAAGTATTCTTGCCAAACACTTGAACCTGAATCTGATCAAGACTATAGATCTCACCACCAACTCCCAGGGACCCTCAAAAATGATTACAACGCAATCAGCAAAATCCAGACTATGGGAAGCTCTACAGGACACCCGACTCCATTTCTTTAACAGATGAACAGCAGGGAAGAGGGGCAGGCAGTGGTGGTGAAGGACGTGATGGAGTAGAGAGGGGGGGTCTTCCCGAGCATAGATTTCAAAAGTACGAGACATCCATCAGCTGCAACGCGAGACCTTAAAACAATCTAAAGAACCTTCAGAGTCGACCAGGGAAATTGCGACACTGGAATTTGATAATATTAAGAAATTATTCCTAATTTTTAAAGATTTTATTTATGTATGTATTTAGTTATTTGAGAGCGCGAGAGAGAAACAGTATGAGAGGGGAGAGGGTCAGTGATGATAACAGAATTGTGTTATGTTTAGAAAAATAACCACTAACATTAAAGATGCAGACAGAAATATTTATAGATGAAATAATAGCTGGGATCTGCTTTAAAATAAGGGGAGTCGGAGGCGTATGCAGAGGTACAGATGAAACAGGACTGGTCAGAATCTACTTCTGTAAATGCTGGGCATTTTTTACAATAGAATTTTTTAAACCTTAGAAGCTAAAATAGGTATTCTTCCTGGATTCTCTTCCTCAAGTACAATCTGATGCCTGCGTTACCTGCGTTCACGTGGAGAGGAATGTTTTCTACGATCACGTGTGGCAGAGTGATGGCAGTACTGATGACAGGGACATTCCCCACGGCTGAGGTCCTGCGGCAGAAAAGGGCAGCTTTCAAACCCAGGCTTCCCGCGAAAAGTTAAAAACAGGAAATGTGTATGTGCACCGGCGTGTTCCAAAGGAAACAGAAATTACTTCTACATTTTCTAGAACTTTACTAACGGAAGCTGTTTCGTGAAAAGCTTTTGGAATCCTGCTTGTGGTTTGAACGTTTCCAACGCACAAATGCCATGACCCACGGCTGCTGCTTGGCCCCAGTGGCGGAGGGTGAACCGAGCACGCCAGGGGGCGCACCACCGAACCCAGTGTTTGGTAGCAAAAGGCTCTCAGTGTGGGTGACCGACACTGTGACAGAGACCTCCTTCTCACCCTGCAGCCGGCTCACAGCTGAGCAGGGACCACTTGCAAGCGGACCACTACAACGACTCTAGAAGCACACAGTAGAAACCGAGGAACTAAAAATACGTTAGAATCAACCAACACAGTGCCATTCCAGCACTAACCGAGAAAAAGGGCGCACCCTTAGGAAACTGTCAGTATCTTCCCCTCGGTTACAGTTAGAATGGGAACTACAGGGCCAGCTGGCTGCTACCTGACCAAGGAGAGCCCCTGGGGAGAGTCTGTAACTAGAGGCAGAACAGCCAACACTCTGTGCAAGTTATCGTACAGCAGAAGCAACAGGAAAACCCATCTAACCCTTTATCACTAAGAAATATGTCTCTCTGGTACTACAGTGGCATGAGGGGATAATTAAGCAGCGCCTTCACAATACCACTTTAATTCCTAGAAACATAAATTAAACTGAACTTCAATGTTTAGTAAATTCAGAAGTGGGGAAAAGAAAGTTTTTTAAAAACAAAACTACATTATTTTTCCGTTCTCATTTTTAATATTATCTTACCCACTGTTCTAAAATTTATGAAAAAAAAAAAAAACGGAGTCATGCTAAGAAAATAACACATAAAATATCACGTATCTACTTCCCAGCCTAAGAAAACATAACAATATAGCTGAATCTTCCCATGTACCCCTTCCTGCTTGCACTCCCCAGAAGTAACTACTATCCTGAATTTGGTATCTATCATTGCTATGCGTTTCTTTACACTTTTCCAAATTATGTATGTAGCCCTAAGAAGTACACAGTGTTTCACATGTTTTCCAACATTATATACATGCAATTTATTCATATTCTGAATATCTGCAGTTGCTTTGTTCACTCACTATTAAGTTACCAGGTATAGCTCTGGTTAATTCATTTTCACTGGTAATACAACATTCCATTGTATGACTGTGCCACGATTTATCCATTTTCCTGTTGATGGATATTTAGTTTCTAACTGCTGACTATGATAATCAGAGGTGCAATGAACGTTCTTACATACATCCTTTGTGTGCATGTTTAAGACTTTTCTATGACTAGAGGGTATAGACATCTTCAATTTTACCTGGTCCTGCTGCATTGTCTTCCAAAGTAACTTTTGACAAACCATGCATTGTTAAATCTTTTTATTTTTCCAAATTAGTGGGAGCACATCGGAATCTCAGATTCCTAGTGAGGTCAAGCTTCTCTCCCTATGTTTACTAGCCATTGGCTTCTTCTCTTTCCCTTACACTGCATACTCAAGATTTTGCTCAACAACTTTCTGTTAGGAGACTTGTTTTTCTTATGATTTGTAGAGGTTCTTTTTTTTTTTTTTAAAGATTTTAGAAGTTCTTGATATGAATTCTAATACACTGTCAGTTTTACATATTGTAAATAGCTTTTCCCAATTTGTATTTTGTCTTTTCACTTTCTACATGGCATTTTTAAATGAACTAAGAAATTTAATTGTAACAAATCAAATTCATCAATTTTAGTGGCTTATACATTTATGTCTTGTTTAAAGGAACTCTCCCTATTCCAAAGTCTTAAACAATTCTCTTATTTTGTACTAAAAGTAATAAAGTTTTGCTTTCCACAATTAGAACTTTAGGATACCTGGAAGTGATTTTTATATACATTGTAGAGATCCAATTTTTTCCCAAATGGACACCCAATTGTTCACCACTACTTGTAAAACAGTTCATCATTTCCCCACTGCTCTGTAATGTTACCTCTCTAAAATATAATTTCCATATGTGTGGATCTGTGGATCTATTTCTAGACTCCCTCTTCTCTTCCACTGGCTTATTTACAAATCCCCAAGCCAATACCATAGCAACGACTACTGTAGCTTTACAGTAAGTCTGCGAATTTAGAAGAGCAAGTACCCTTGCCTAGCTTTTCTTCTGGAGTATCTTGACTATTTCTGAGGTTTCGCCTTTCCATAGAAACTTTATGATCAAGAGTGTCAGATTCTACAAAAACAAACCAAAATAAGCTTTTGGGATTTTGAAGGAAACTGCACTGGTTCTATAGAACAAACAATATTAGACCTATCCAAATCCTACCCGAGACCATTTTGTATATTTCCCCATTTATTTAAGAACTTCCTTTAATGTTTTAGAAGTTTTATAATTTTCTCCATAATGGTGACACATGTTTTCTATCTGATATACTCTTACTTACCTTATAATTATTGTTGTCATCTGAATGATACCTATTTTAAAAGTACATCGCTGGAGGTTTATTACTGATATAGAAAGCCAACTGGATTTTGTATATTGAATGTTATATCCAGCAACCTTGATGGAACTCTTAATAATGCAAATAATTTGTTGATTCACTTGGGTTTTCTATGTAAACAATCCTACTGACTGCAAGTAAGAGAAGTTTTTCCTAATGTTTTTAATGGTCCTGTTATAAGAATTAATTTGGCTAAAATTTCATCAGTATATAAGGTCACAAATTGTGACAAATACAAATGAAAGTTTAATGATCCTTTTTAATCTTTGTGTTTTTGACAAATGGTTAGTGATAGCACGTGACTTCTAGTCTTCACCCTAGGACTGAAAGAAGCTTTCAAATATTAAATGACAATGACAAATAATAAAGACATGAGAATAGCACATACAAGGAAAAAAAGACAGGGCTGATATAACTTACCTCTTCCAGGAGATAATATAATGCCCAGTTGCTACTCCACCTTCAACATTTCCAACAGATGGGCACCGAAGACAAAAGCATTCACTAGCACTCTCTCCAGTCTGTAAAACAACTACAAGAAATAGTTTTTATAATCCTTATGTAAGGATTTTCCCTATGAAAGGAGAGTTTTACCTCCGGTAGTGGAACAAAAAAAGAATACTTTATCAGTTATACATTATTTATAGAGACTTAAATGCTAAGGCTCAGAGATGTTAAATGACTTTTTCAAGGTCACAAAGTCCCTGTCCAGGTCCTCAATATTCCGTTATAATAAAAAGAGGCGAAGCAGCTGTAGGTCTGTGACAAGTTCCTATGGGAACTAATGAAAAGGAAAAGTCTAGAGTCAGGATAATACTATTTGGTGATTATTTTTCTTTCTCCCCATTATTTCATGTCTCCAAAGAAAACATTTCACGGTAGGGAAAAAGAAATTTTTAGTCAACCCTTAAGGTACTCAAAATGTCATGCCAGCCAACTCGGGCTTTCTCTGACATATGCACATTACTGACACCATCAAATGGAAACACCTTACATGGTGCCTCGTTATTGCCTAATTTGGTTATTTACCTCTTACACAAGGATGCTGTCCTCTTGCCAAATTTAGCCTAAACTCCCGATGACAAGACAAAAGCTCATCTGACCTGAGGTCTCCCTGCCTGTCAGCCCTTCGCAGCCTGGGGGGGGGGGGGGGCCCTCTTTTAATGCAAGCCAGCAACAGGGCCCATGGAGGGCCGATGTTAGCACATCTGTGAGTGAAACTTTCAAACGATAATAACAAAGTCTTTAAATATTAACTAATTGTTTTTATGGTTCTCCAATGAAGAAGGCTGTGAGAAATTAATAGTTATGTTGTGAGTAGAAAGGGAAAAAAGTTGGGCCAATTTCTACTTTAATTAACTACTTTTAAATAATTTTTAAGGCCTAGGAAATGATACTGTAGCCCAATAAATAAAACACACATTAGGGGCGCCTGGGTGGCTCAGTCGTTAAGCCTCTGCCTTCGGCTTAGGTCATGATCCCAGGGTCCTAGGATCGAGCCCCGCATCTGGCTCCCTGCTCAGCGGGAAGTCTGCTTCTCCTTCTCCCACTCCCCCTACTTGTGTTCCTGCTCTCACTGTCTGTCAAATAAATAAATAAAATCTTTAAAAAAAAAAAAAACCACACACATTAATTCAAACCTTTTTTTTTTTTAAAGATTTTATTTATTTATTTGAGACAGAGAGAATGAGAGAGAGCACATGAGAGGGGGGAGGGTCAGAGGGAGAAGCAGACTCCCTGCCGAGCAGGGAGCCCGATGCGGGACTCGATCCCGGGACTCCAGGATCATGACCTGAGCCGAAGGCAGTCGCTTAACCAACTGAGCCACCCAGGCGCCCTAATTCAAACCTCTTAAGATACCTTTTTTTTTTAGAACCTGGGACATTCATATTGCCTCCCCCTCGCCCCACCTTGCTCCACCAAGTCCTCCTTAATTCTAGGAAGTTAACCAAAATGATATAACCTTTATTAACAATTAACATCAGGGTCAACTTTATGACCTAGTAAAGTTGTTATTTTTAATATGTCAAACATAAATTTTGTAATGCATGAGTTCCGGTGTTCTTAGAGGTGGGAGACAGAATAATGCCATGCTACCCCCTTCCCCAAAGATATTCACATCATAGTTCCCAGAATGTTGCCTAACCTGGCAGAGAGGACTTTACGGCTGTGATTAAGATAAGGATCTTAAAATAGGAAGATTTTACTGGATTACCCAGTTGGGTCCAATGTAATCACGAGGGTTATGAGGGAAAGAGGGAGGCAAGAGGGAGTCTGAGAAAAAGAGGACAATGGAAGCGGGGGCGAGAAAAGAAACATGAGAAGATGCTACACTGCTGGTTTTGAAGACGGAGGAGGGAGCTGGGAGCCAAGGAATCCAACTGGCCTCTGCAAGCTGGAAAGGGCAAAGGCAAGGATTTTCCCTAGAGCCCAGAAGGAATGCAGCCCTGCCAACACCTTGATTTTAGGACCTCTGACCTCTAGAACTTTCAGATAAATCTGTGTTGTTTTAAGCCACTAACTTGGTAATTTGTTACAGCAGCAATAGAAAACTAGTAATGGGAAATTCAAGGTGGACATTATTCATTAATTTAATAAACACTTATTAAATGCCAACTACTATGAGGCTGGCAACACAAAGAGGATGACGTCATGGCACCAGCTCTTCAAGAGCACACAGCATAGTGGAGGTGCCATAACTGCAAATAAATAATTACAATAGAACGGTTAAGTATTATCACATGTACAAGATACTCGGCGAGTAAAGAAGGAAGACGACCTAGCCCTGCTTGGGAAGATCAAAAAGTCAAAGCTTACAGGAGTCCTGAAGAGCACACAAGAGTTTGACAGCTTGAAAGAAAAAGGAAAGGGTTTTGGGCCAAGGTACTACCATGTTCAAAACCAGAGGGAGGCGATGTTTGCTGACTGTAAAGTTTGGCTTGGTCGAAGTCTGGGAAAGAGGAAGGGGAAGAAGAGAGGGTGGTGCAGAAGAAGCTGGAAAGGGAAGCTGCGCTGGGAAAGATCTGGAATGTCATGAAGCTTTTTAAGTGGGAATAACAAGCTCAGAATAGTTTCTTGAGAAATCAAACTCTGGCAGCAATAGGAAAGGCAGAGTAGGGGAGAGAATGGCAAAGAGGAAACCAGCTAAGGAGGTATTCCTGAAGGCCAGAGGAGAGATGGTGACAGTCTCTGGATTCAAGACACATGGAGAAGGCAGAACGTGGGGCTGGGCTGGATGTGCACGCATGGAGGGCATCTAGTTTGTGTCCGTGGGCCCTCGCTGGAAACAAGCGCGCACAGATTCCTCTAGCTGGACCGCAGAATGCAGGCGGCCCAAGGTTGCGTGGCAGGTGAGGACTTGTAGAAAAAGTAAGGGAGCCAAAGTCAGGATCCTGGAAATGACCAACATTGAAGGGGCAAGAAAAGGAGTCAGCAAAGAATGGACAAATAACTAGCTTGTGTTGAGCTGTAAGGAGGTAAGCACTGGGCTGAGATTTTCATATAGATTATCTCATCCAGACTATCTCATACACGTGATCTTCTTTAACTCTGAGAAATGATAAAACCCAATGAACAGTCCAACATAACAAAAGAGCAAGCAGTAGGACTAAGAACTGAATCTCGTTCAGTGTGACTCTAAATCTCGTGATTGTTCCAAGTTGGCACAGGGAGGAGTAAAGGAAGAGGACACAGAAACAAAGTAGAACCAGAGGCAATGACTTCCAAAACCACAGGAGAAAACCAAGTTTCCAAAGACAGAAAAACAAAACTTATGAAGGCATTCTGAAAGCAGAAATGGGTTTTTTATTATTATTACTTCACAGACTGTGGGACCTATTTGTAGCATTTAAACAGAGAGGTTTAGGGACATGTTTGATTTTATCTATCTGTCTGTCCGTTTGCCTACCTATTTTACCTATCCTCCTTTATGATGACTTTCCTAAAATGCACATAAGTGACTATAAAGCCTGCTTGCTCTTTTGGTGTCTTGAGAACCTAGCATGGTGCCATACAGTGAACTTGATAAATATCTGTTGATTATTTATTGATAGATATTAAAACTTATTTATAGGCCAGATGCAAAAAAATACACTGGAATTCTAAAACTACTCAGCTAATTTTAATCTGTATTGCAAATCAACTATATGACTTGTAACACTGATGTCCAGTAGTAGATAGATAAACAAATAGAGCAAATGACTCATTTATATTTGGTTTTAAGAGTATATCATGATTTTTTTGCATATAATATTTACCATTATAATATAGCTGAGCACAATTTTGCTTGGGTTAACATTCAAACTCATTTTTTTTCTCCCTAACAGCTCAAGAAGTATACAAGCCCAAAGTATGATGCACCAGAAAAGTAATATCCTGGGTTTAAATCTCTTCTCTGTACTGTTTTAGCTGATTTAGAAAACGTATTGTCTACTCTTTTATATTTCCCCCAAGTTTTTTCAATAATCATCTTTTACCATTTCAAGTTATACATAATAGTAAATAATTAAAAATTAATAAGAAAAAAATAATCTATAAAAAATCCAAGTATGAAAAAATATTTTATTGTCAAGTACATTTTTCAAAGAGTAACTTCCTTATAGTAGCAAAAATCTTATCTTTTAAAATAAGGTATACTCAAGCAAACTGTAAGTGATACTAATTCTACCTTAATTCTAAATTTATTCACTTTAGTGAGTGTCAGTCTCAATTACCGTCCCTTAGCAAAAAGCTAACTCTTACACTGGTAACCTACACACACACACACACACACATTGTCTTCTAATTAAGTGGGATGATCCACATTCTCACCTTTGTCCACTTGGGACTCTAGCTGATCCACAGGAGCCATAGAAGGAGCAAGCTGGAGCTCACTGGATACAATAGTGAGGGCCCAAGGTGAGGCACTTAAAAGGTCGGTCATCAATAGAAAGGGGATGTCTGCATAGACCCTTTCCAGGTGTTCAAACTGTCACAAATGAAGACAAAAGGTCTGTCTGGAACTACAGTAATCCATTTTCTTTTTCTGTTAATTTCTATAACTGAAATGATTTCCAAAATGCTTCACAGGAACATACCTTTGTAGAGACAAATTTAACCGCAACATCAAATGGAAAGACAGTTTCTATAGTTACAGTTTCATCCTGCAAGAAAATTTAAAGGGCACATTCAATGGCTTTTCTAAACTTAAAAATAGTTTTAAAAATAGAAGGTGTATAAGACACAATCTGTAACTGATAATAAATAATCTCAATTTATATATTAAGAAACTAGGATCTTCCCCTCAGATAGTATTTGTAAAAACCTATGTAGAGAGACCAGACCGCTATTTCTAATAAATTATCTTATGGTTTTATAACAGTTCACATGGCAAAGTGCTTTCTAACACATTAATTATCTCAGGATCTAGTAAAAGTGAGCAAGACAGGCACTGTCACCATTTTACAGAAGAGGAACCAGAGGTTAAGGAAGGTTAAATGATTGGCCTCAGCCCACAAAGCTAGCGGCGCAAAGCCTAGAATCTGAGTCTTCTTTTTGTCTAAATTCTTTGCCTTGACTCAACACAAGATGACTAATAATAATGATAGTAACAATAATAAAATATGACAGTGCTGTAATCACTATACAAGCATTATGTAATGTTCGTAATAACTCAAGGAAAGATGCCATTATACTTGCCATTTTTTTTAAGGATTTAAGACTTCATTTATTTATTTGAGAGAGAGGAAAAGAGAGCTCGCACGCGTGTGCAGGGGCGCGCACACGGGCATGCGCACACACGCAGTGGTCGGGGGGGACAGGGCAGAGGGAGAAGGAGAAGCAGACTCCCCGCTGAGCAGGGAGCCCGACACGAGACTCGATCCCAGGACCCTGAGATCACGACCTGAGCTGAAGGCAGACGCTTAACTGACTGAGCCACCCAGGCGCCCCTATACTCATCATTTTAAGATGAAGTGGTCATACATAGCTAGTAAGTGACAAAGGCAGATTTCACCCTTAAGCTTGTACTCTTAACCAACGTGCTACGTCTCTTCCCTGAGTCTATTCACTAAACAATGGGGTTACTATGGCTTTGGAACCAAACCACCCATCCCATTGGTGAGAACCCTTTAAAAAAAAAAAAGTCACGTTGATTAAAAACTCAAGGCTGTACAAATGCCAGGTAGATGTGGGTTTTAATCCTTGAGGACACATACTTATAACCCTGAGGACTCTGGGCACAGTGAGGTGACCGTGGGGAGGGGACATGATCTCTGAGTCTCAGCTCCATGATCCTCACAGGGCTGTTGACAATGAAGTGAGACGATGCATATGCAGGACCAGTGGAATGCCTAAACCATGTTTATTATTATTATATGCTTCAAATACTTCCTCTCAATACCATCAAGCTAACTTTTTAAGAACGTGCAGTAAGTAGGATATTGATGGTTGAAAACGGATGCAGGGGTTCCATGATCTAAAGCCTAGGGCCTCAATATTCCCCCACCGAAAAGATATATGGAAATGAAGAAGCAACTCAGTGAGTAGCTTCAATGTGGCCTACTTTAAATTTCCACATGGCCTACGAAGCAGACACACATGCAGGTAAAAATGAGATTTAATCCAGTGAAGGGAAAAGAAATTACATTTAAATTTCCAAAATGTCTTGCAAGTAACACTAGGACCTGTAAGACAGACATTCCATGAGAAAAGCGCTTCTTAGTAAAATGATTTTGAAAGATAACCAACACAGCCTGTTGTGAAATTCTCAACACACATTAGCAAATTCAATGCTGTGCTAAGCCCTGAAGTCCAAATATCTGTTTAATACCTTTTAACCGAACATATTTGACCAATTCATTCTTTTGTGTAACATCTATTTCTGTCCCTCAGAATTAGTGTCCCTTAAAAGCTTACCTTGGGAATGGACTGGCTGATAGAAGAATAAATAGCTTCTTTAAAAAACTAAAAGGCAACCTACTGAATAGGAGAAAATGTCTGCAAATGACATATCCAATAAAGGGTTAGTATCCAAAATATATAAAGTACTTACACAACCTAACACCAAAAAAAAAAATCAAATAATCCAATTGAAAAAATGGGCAGATGACATTTTCTGTGGACAACAGTATGGAGGTTCCTCAAAAAATTAAAAATTGAATTACCGTGCGATCCAGTAATTCCACTATTGAGTATGTACCCAAAGAATACGAAAACACGAATTCAAAAGGATATATGCATCCCTAGGTTTACTGCATTATTTACAACAGCCAAGTTGTGGAAGCAAACCAAATGTCCATCAACAGATGAATGGATAAAAAAGATGAGAGGTACACCTACACCCACACGGTGGCACACTATTAAGTCATCAAAAAGCATGAAATCTTGCCATTTGCAATGACACGGATGGAGCGAGAGAGTGTGATGCTAGGTGAAATAAGTCAGTCAGAGAAAGACAAATACCATATGATTTCACTCATGTGTGGAATTTAAGAAACAAAACAAATAAAAAGGAAGAGACAAACCAAAAGACTCTTAACTATAGAGAACATACTGCTGGTTACCAGAAGGGGGGCGGTGAGGGGATGACAGAAATAGGGGAAGGGGATTAAGAACAAGTGGCATGCATGCAGAAGAATGAAACTGGACCATTTCCTTACATCACACACAAAAATAGACTCCAAATGGTTGAAAGACCTCAATGTGAGACAGGAGTCCATCAAAATCCTAAAGGAGAACACAGGCAACAACCTCTTTGACCTCAGCCGAAGCAACTTCTTCCTAGAAACATCGCCAAAGGCAAGGGAAGCAAGGGCAAAAATGAACTATTGGGACTTCATCAAGATAAAAAGCTTTTGCAAAGCAAAGGAAACAGTCAACAAAACCAAAAGACAACCGACAGAATGGGAGAAGATATTTGCAAATGACATATCAGATAAAGGGCTAGTATCCAAAATCTATAAAGAACTCATCAAACTCAACACCCAAAGAACAAAGAATCCAATCAAGAAATGGGCAGAAGACATGAACAGACATTTTTCCAAAGAAGACATCCAAATGGCCAACAGACACATGAAAAAGTGCTCAATATCGCTCAGCATCAGGGAAATCCAAATCAAAACCTCAATGAGATACCACCTCACACAAGTCAGAATGGCTAAAATTAACAAGTTAGGAAACGACAGATGTTGGCAGGGATGCGAAGAAAGGGGAACCCTCCTACACTGTTGGTGGGAATGCAAGCTGGTGCAGCCACTCTGGAAAACTGTATGGAGGTTCCTCAAAAAGTTGAAAATAGAGCTACCATATGATCCAGCAATTGCACTATTGGGTATTTACCCCAAAGATACAAAAGTAGGGATCCGAAGGGGTACGTGCACCCCGATGTTTATAGCAGCAATGTCCACAATAGCCAAACTGTGGAAAGAGCCAAGATGTCCATCGACAGATGAATGGATAAAGAAGAGGTGGTATATATATACAATGGAATATTATGCAGCCATCAAAAGGAATGAGATCTTGCCATTTGCAACGACGTGGATGGAACTGGAGGGGATTATGCTGAGCGAAATAAGTCAATCAGAGAAAGACATGTATCATATGATCTCACTGATATGAGGAATTCTTAATTGCAGGAAACAAACTGAGTGTTGCTGGAGTGGAGGGTGGGTGGGAGGGATGGGGTGGCTGGGTGATAGACACTGGGGAGGGTATGTGCTCTGGTAAGCGCTGTGAATTGTGCAAGACTGTTGAATCTCAGATCTGTACCTCTGAAACAAATAATGCAATATATGTTAAGAAAAAAAGAAGAAGAAGGTAGCAGGAGGGGAAGAATGAAGCGGGGAAATCGGAGGGGTGGACGAACCATGAGAGACGACGGACTCTGAAAAACAAACTGAGGGTTCTAGAGGGGAGGGGGGTGGGAGGATGGGTTAGCCTGGTGGTGGGTATTGAGGAGGGCACATTCTGCATGGAGCACTGGGTGTTATGCACAAACAATGAATCATGGAACACTTCATCTAGAACTAATGATGTAATGTATGGGGATTAACATAAGAATAAAAAAAAAATCAAAAAAAAAAAAAAAAGAAGAACAAGTGGCATGCACCTCAGTAATATCACGTCCTGAGGAGAAGAGAGCACTGCACACCACTGTAGTGTGATTCCGGGATCATTACTACAGAGCAGACAATTATTTTAAAAAGGTATGTTCCGGGCGCCTGGGTGGCTCAGTTGGTTAAGCGACTGCCTTCGGCTCAGGTCATGATCCTGGAGTCCCTGGATCGAGTCCCGCATCGGGCTCCCTGCTCGGCAGGGGGTCTGCTTCTCCCTCTGACCCTCCTCCCTCTCATGTGCTCTCTCTCTCTCTCATTCTCTCTGTCTCAAATAAATAAATAAAATCTTTTAAAAAAATTAAAAATAAATAAATAAATAAATAAAAAGGTATGTTCCAAGTCTACTAGAAGCTTCATTATCTGAAGTAGAAATGACATCCAAGGCTGAGGACTCTAAAGCTGCACAGAACAGTACTGTTCTTGTTTTGGAGATGAGGAAATGGAGGCCAGAGGTTTCCGTGGCTAGCCTGAGCACCAGGTTAGGAGGCCACGCTGAGACTGGCACTCTCACCTCCTCCTCCACCCCCCAGGATTCATCCCAGTGCATCGGGCTAGGTGAAGTCTTTGATATATTCAGTGCCTTCCCTCCTTCCACTTGGGACATACTTCTAACTCTCTTAGGATGGGGTTGCCTCTCACGGACTCACGAAACAGCCGATGGCCCAGAATCTGCGCTATAACCTTCCTACAAATGGCCAAACTGACTGGCCTTCTCCTCTGCTGGCTGAGGGCCCACTTCCCGAGAACAGGCCAAAACAACACAGGTAAAACTAACAAGACAGTAGATATCGTGATTTCCCATTACTAAAAGAAGATACAAGCAATTACAGACAATATGGTTAAATCTAGACAAAAACATGGCTCCCCCAAACTGCTGTAAATAGAGAAGAGACCAAGAGAAAATACACCAGGGGCGCCTGGGTGGCTCAGTTGGTTAAGCGACTGCCTTCAGCTCAGGTCATGATCCTGGAGTCCCTGGATCGAGTCCCGCATCGGGCTCCCTGCTCAGCAGGGAGTCTGCTTCTCCCTCTGACCCTCCCCCCTCTCATGTGCTCTCTCTCATTCTCTCTCTCTCAAATAAATAAATAAAAATCTTTAAATAAAAAAAAAATTTATAAAAAAAAAAAAAATACACCAACAAGGTGACAGCAGTGGCCTCCAAGTGACCGACTCTGACCACGCTGGCCTTATTCCTACCCTCTGTCTGAACTTAGCAGCAACAATTTCCATAGTCCTTTCTAACAGAACAAAGATTTCATAAAGGGAGACCTCCCATCCTCCAAAATCTTCAGTGTATAACTTACAGATGTTGTCCAATGTGTGATTTTATAAGGAAACATACAGGTTTAGAGTCTCAAACTTTTTGCAAAAGATCCCAAATCCCCTGACCATACGAAAAGCCATGGAGGCCAATTTTCTGAAGTTTGAGCAATGACAGCCATAGTATATCATTTATAATGTTATAAATGATTGAAAAAAAACAAGAAATGTTTAAAATTTGTAAATTAAAAAAAAAAATTGTTATAGATTACAAGCACCTAAGCTGCTCATCTTGTTACAGGTAAACTAAGAAACACAAAATAGGGAACACTCCACCCAGGATCCTTCCTGAAGTAGCTATGAAAAATTCTACCTTGTGACACTTGCAAACAATTTCTTTGTCTTCAATAGTTGTATTGATCAGGTAAGAAACATACACGAGAAACATTCTTGAACCCACTGTTCCACAGCGAACGTATAACATTTTTTCCAGCTGTAACAAAATAAAAGTACTTTAATAATTCAGAGATTTCCTCCTGACACATACTCTAGGATAATGTTCCCCACCTTTTAAAAGTTTATTGTACCAACTGACTAAATTCTTGAACACTTTTTACAGGCTGTTCCTGCCTCAGTATAAGAGTGGGATCATTACTATTCCACCTGTTCTTACTATCATTGGCAACTTCCCAAGATTGTTTGTGTTTAGTTCGGAAATAAAAGCTGCCTGAGGGGTTATTCCACTAAGTTACACACTTAATGTTATTTAGGTATTTTATCAAGGCAACTAGTTCTCCGTATTAGGGTCATTTGCTCTAAAATCACTCGTATAAAAACTGCTTACAACATTTTACACATTTAAATATGTAAAATGTGTATAAAATGTGCATTAGTTAAATCCCATTTTTAGTCTCAGGATATGCTGTTAAAATGCTCTAGAACTATCTAAGACTCACTACGTATTTAAAACTGCAGTCTAGTTGATTTCCTCTCCCATCGTAGTTGACCAAGGTTCACCTGTTCCCCCGGATGTAAGTCTCCCACAGGAATGTCAGTGAGTAAAGCCGGGTAGGACTCATCACACAGTTCTGTTCCATGAAGAGACACGTGCGTTTTCTGAGTTAAATTGGCATCCTGTCCTAAAAGTGTTAATATCGGTGTTTTAAATACAGAGAATTCAAACTTTATCCTAACAATTCATACTGCACAGACCATTTCATAACTACTTCATAACCATATTTTAAATACACTTCCTGTAGTTGACACCACTGATATTTATTTTATGTTGAATGAACATTGACCAGTTTTTAAAAAGGAATGTTTACCGGGTTTTAAACCAGCGGTGAGCTTCACGTCTCTGATTCGGGTCTTCTCGTGGGACTCAACGGTCACAACCAAACAATACATTTCATTGGTCAGGGCAGGAGGGTCATGTCGCAGATGCACAGAAATGTTTGGAACTCTGGAGATGATCCTTTGGGGGAAAAAAAAACCTTAGCCGAGTAACCAATTCTTAAGAAAACAAGTTATTCAAAGTATTTAGAAGAAACAAGATGGCCTTCCACGATCTGCCTAGCGAGGTGGACGTACATCGTGCTTGCCTGAATGACTATGCTGTCCCAGTGAAGTTCACTGTCAGGGAGCTTAGGCCGTCTTTTGAAAGAACGCGAGGCCTGCAAGGCTTCTTGGGAGGAAGCGGCGTCCCCTCCTCCTCCTTGCCAATTTAAAACCACACATCTTCCCGTCTCGTGGCCCAGAACCAGATCTACTGAAGTAATCTGAAAGATGGAGGGCTGTCAGAAATGCCACCTCATACTTGCCACCATCCCCTCACGACAAATGACATAGTGACTGCTGGTCTGTCGAGTTCCTCTAGAGACCCACAGGGTGATGAGGTCAGAACACCTGCTGGGACAGTTGTCCTGGTCATCTATTAGCTGTGACACTGACTAGGTTCACCTTTAAATGGAGATAAGAACCTGACGTAACAGATGCTCAGTTAGTGGTTGCTGAGTGAAATACATCAATGGTTTGACGACCATTAGCATACTCATAACCTAATTCCTAATTCCAAACATACTTTTCCCGAAGACATCTATAATATTATTAACTGAATAAATGTCCCTTTCAACTAAATCCATTAACAAATGTACTCAAAATAGTGTTATTAATTATGATTTCCATCTGGTAAGCTTCCTTAGGTACCTTGCAAAAATAAAATATGTAATTAGGGATTTAGTCAAAATCATAAAGAATTTTTTTTTTAGTGAATAAGCAAAAAACTCTGGATTTTGGTTAGTAATAAAATGGACAGGTTCACAGAAAGTGTTATGGGAATACTGGTAGTACAGTCTTAAGTTTCTATCTTAGAAATGGTCCTAAGTTTGGATCAGCCAAATATCACCATGGTTTTCAAGCCATAGAAAACAAGCACTTAATGAAAGCTTACTGTGTATTAATCACTATTCCAAGCAATCTACATCAACTAACTGATTTAATCCTCACGAAACACTAAGAGGTAGGTACCATTATTATCCCCACTTTACAGATGAGTAAACTGAGATACAAAGAGGTCAAGTAACTGGCCAGGGCCACACGCTAGTAAGCTGGAGAGGCGGAATTTAAACCCATGTAGTTTGGTTCAGAGTTTATCCTCAATAAAAATAGTATTTTCACCATGTATTTCTAAAAGGGATTTTAATTATGAATATTAAATGAATCCTTTAAAATATGTATGTCTTCATTTTTTTCTTTAAAAAAATGCAATCAGAAATGTTTAAACATCAAAATGATATAGCTCTCTAGCCTGAATTATGTCATATTATACAAAATATAATTGCTACAGTACTTAATAGATATATTTTGTTTAAAAGTCTTTAACTGATTATGTAGCCATCAAAAATGAGGTTGGTCTTATGTACTAACAGGAAATGATGCCTAATGTCCACTGGTAAGTGAAAAAAATCAACGATAGAATATTATGTATAGATTAGTCTCAATAAAAGAAAACCCACCAAACCATGAATGACTGCCCTTGCAAAGTCCAAGTGGATGATGTTAATTTTTTACTCAACAAACTTGTGTACTATCTGAAATTTTTTCTGACATACACATATACTTTTGTCACTTAAAGTATGTTTTAAACAAATTTCATAACTAACCTCAATTTTCTTTCCCACGTCTTCAGTTTTTGCAACAAATTTAAATAAAAACTTCCTTGTTTTACCAGGAACTAAGCACATCTTTCCCTGAGTCAAATTTTCTAAAACTTCACTTGCTTTGGTTGCTTCTTCGATTACACAGAACTGGTTATACTCCTGTAAAAGAGGTCAGAGCAAGGGTCACAGTTTATAAACATCAAATGTCGTATGCTTTGCTGACACTGAACACCAAATGATTTGGAGTGAGGTAAGTTTAACTGCTTGAAAACTAAAGCCTCATGAAGGGTGATTAATGAGAAGTAGCTTATGCCCAATGGAAGCTCATCCTCTCCGAGCTACCACAAGGTAAAGACAGTTCACCGTGTACAAGGTGATGTCTGCAAACATTTACACATCCCTTTCCTGGGGAGAAACAAAGATTTACTCTTTGTTTCATTGGATGCTACTGTCTATCATCCCCTTTTCTTAAAGGGCTTTCTTTTTACTTGGTTTCTGTGACCCTAAAATATCATCCTTCCTGACTACTTCCTGTTTTTCCCTCAAAGAGCTTTTTTTTCTTCTTCTTGTCCCCTTAATTCAGAGGCTCCACAGGCTTCATTCCTTGGCTTTCAGTTCTTTTCCCTTTATGTTTATTTCATTGCAAAGTTTGTTCATTTCTATATATTCCACACCTCTATGCTAATATTTCCCACATTAAAAACTAATTCTGTCCTATTTCCTTGGCTGAAAGTTCATATCCACAACTGTCTAGAGGAGAATTCCATGACCACTCAAATTTAGCATGTCCCAAACTGGATGTACATCTACCGTCCCAGAAGGGCACATTCCTTACAGATGAATAAAGGGAGACATCCTTCCTGTGTACATCTAGGCAATCACCATTTTCATCCATTCAAGGACTTTCCAAGAGCCACCTTCTATCCTAGCAAATGAATTATCTTCACAGAAAATTCTCATTAGTTAAGTTAAATACTTTCCCTCTAATTTTCATTTCTATTCCATGCTTCTGAAACCTAAGTACTACTTTTTTTCTTATGATTTGTATCTTGGATTTCAAATAACACATATGCAGAATATAATCTAACTTTAAAAACTAATTGCTTTACATTTTATATTAACATTTTAAATTAGTTTTTAATTATAGAAGTTGTTAAGAAAAGAGGGGAGAAAGAAATGGGATAGTAGGATATAAGAAAAGTAAAAAAAGAATCTATTTATCCTCTAATTCCAGATTTAAAATATTTCCAAAAAAAATTTCATAGTTGAGCAAAAAAAAATTATCTGTCCTAGGAGAGCTTATATTTTAATAAAGAAAATAATTTACCAAAAAACCATACAAAGTGAAAGCACAGCTGTGATAAGTACTATGGTGGGTTATGGCTAAGAAAATCGATGAGGTAGGCAGGGAAGGTGTGCCTGAGGAAGTGAGGCTTTTAAGGGCATAAAACATGAGAAGGAATTGCAAGAAGAGGGACGACCAATCCAAGAAGAAGTAACATCACGTACAAAATCCCCTGTCATACTACTGAGTGATCTCACTTACATGTGGAATCTATAACCCATAGAAACAGTAAAATGGTGGATGCCAAGGGGTGGGGAAAATGGGAGATGCCGAGCCAAGGACACAAACTTGCAGTCATGAGACAAAAAAGCTCTGGGGATCTAATGTGCAGCATGCAACTATAATTAATCAAACTGTATTATATACTCAAAAGTTGCTAAGAGAGTAGATCCTACATGTTCCCACCACAAAAAAAAGGTAAGTATGTGAGGTGATGGATATTAAGGAACCTTACTGTGATCACCATTTTGCAATATATGTATGTTTCGAATCATCATGTTGTAGGTACACTATAGAATAAACAAGTAGTTATTGGTGGGGGGAGGGGGGGCGGTCCTTTATTCATCCTATCCCCCTTCTCTATCTTCTACAGCCAACACTCAGCAATCCCGACTTCTCTATTGGTAAATGCCTCTCGTAGCCCTTTCTTCCCATTGCCACCCCTACCATCCTGATGCAGATCGTCACACTTTAGTACTTGGGTTCACATAAAGACGCTCTGGTTGGTTTCCATAAGAGTGTTTCTTTCACTCTATTTCATCACTGGAGTAAAGTTTCTTAAATTCTAAATATCATGCTCTTGCTTTAAAACTTTCAAACTAATCAGAAGGAATCATTGGGTAATGGTTCAAAGTTGAATAAAACACACTGATCTTCAGGTGACCCTGGTCCATCAACCGATCCTATTCCAGGGTTATTTCTCAGTTGTGAAGAGTCAAAAAAAAAAAACCAAAAAAACCATTAAGATAAGTAAAGCTCTTTCTTTACCACCATCCAATAAATAGAACATGCATAAATGAATGGATAAATAAATCTTCAAATACTTCTCCTACGAGCCGATCCCTGCTGAACTCTTCAAGCTCCTTCAAGCCACGCAGCCTCGTGTCCGCCTGGCCCGGCTCGCAGCCTCTCTGCTCTTGGGAGGCTGGGTCCCCGCCACCCACAAACCCAGAATGTACATTTCTGCTTCCGTTGGGCATTTCCTCTTGCCAAACATGTTCCTCCTTTTTCATCGCTTTACAGTATCTTCATTTCCTCTTTATCCTGGAAACCTCCTCCCTTTTCTTTGGCATGCCTACTCTAACTGTATTTCTAGCTATCATATAACTTAGTCCTCACTACCTACTAGGGCAATTTGTGGGTCAGTCCTGGTCCCTGCCCCCAGAATGCTTCCATTTCTGACATATGCTAAATGCTTTGAGGTTCACCACGATGCTAAAAATACTTGCTGGTTAAATGCTTGCTGGTTAACGGCTCAATATACTTTCTGGGTGACCAGAAGATAATTATCTCTGAAATAAGCTTGTAACTGAAATATCTGGAATGTAATCAAGTACTTGACAACACTCTAATACATGAAAGAAATGTACAGATGTATATAATTCCAGTTCCGCAGAAAGAAAAAGCTGCTTCTATGTGCATACACAGAAAACGTCGCAACTGCTCAGGAAGTTAATAGTGATGACTTCCAGGTAATGAAATCGGAGGGCACACACTTTTCATTTTATATCCATCTATTCCACTTCAATTTCTTTAACATCAAATATTTAACAGTTTTATCATAAAAAAACTAATACCAGTGTTAGAATGTAAAACAAATGATTCTGAAAATTAGATTATATTTGATAGACCTCATTTGAAATTCAAGTCATATATTACAAAAAATAAAAGTTCCTACATTTCATAGAATGGAATAAAAACAAAACAGAGAGGGAAAAGTGTAAAACTTGAATGGCTAGTACAGAAGCTGATCCACTTATTTTCAAATAGACTTTACCGAAGTCCATTTGTTACTATGCAACCATTAAGACCTAGAATTCACTAAGTTCATTTCATCTAATTTAATGCAAGCTACAGTAAGATACACACATGGTAAAAACACAGTAAGAGGTACTGTTACCTGATTATTAAAGCTGACACAGAGCTTGGAAAACCGAATGGGATGTGGACAGTCAGCCTTCAGATAGATATCAAACCGCACAGGAACATCAACATGAAAACTCGGGGCGTGAAACTTGGCTTTGCATTGTACTAGAAATAAAACAAAGAGAGTCACACACTACAGGACCCTCAAGACACACACCCATGATTCTCTGATCCACACTCACTCTTCAGGAAGGAAACATCTACCCTGGATAGTCTTACTGCATTTTGCCCTTAAAGCATTTCAACACACATAAATGTAGCTCATTTTCAAAAAAAAAAACAAAACAAATTTCAAGAAGTATAACTTCAAAACCACCTTTAATTCTAAAAACACAGTTGCTCCTGAAACGTAACTAACATAGGAGTTTAAAGGGAAAAAAATCATTTTGTTATTTTTAACTTATTTCAAAATACCTGTCTAGGCATTACAGAATAAGCTTTTTAAAAGACAGTCTTTTCAAATGTATTTCAAATCACACTTAAACTACAAACGAACAAAGTAAATTTTAATACATAAGCTAAGGATTTAAAATTTTGAAAATCTTTCTAAGTCAATGGGGAGAAAGAAAAAAAATCACAATTTCATCTGCAGGATGACATATTTTGAACATTCTTTCTTTGACTTTTGTATTTATAGTTCCATGTCTGTTCATTTCGTAGCAAAAAGGATGATTTCTCTGAAATAACACTACAGGCGCTGGCTACCCACCGAATGGCACGAAGTCCTGCACCCCTATCGTGAAGACATTGCTGCCGGCCAGGGAGACTCGGTCCGACCACAGCTTCTGAGCTGTTTTCACGGCTAAGACATCACAGTCGGGTTCCGGATCAGGACTCTCATTCTGCACCAACACAGAGTACAGTTCCTTCAGCTAGTAATAAAAATACATAGATGCAGGTCTAGATATCCCCAGGGTGCATTTTATAGAAAGAACTCCGACTTACCATCAGAACGTTTATGAGGTTCTTTTCGATCCGAGATTTCTGGTCATCTTTCAGAGTTGAAGCTAACATGAAGGAAGTAGGAAAAAAACTGTCACTGTAAGACGGGCCAGTAAAGTGACTACCCCCACGGAAGGTATTAAAATACTACAGAATAAATACCTCTTCTAAGACGGCTAAGCACAATTCCAGACAACGTACAACAACACAGCTTCCTACGTGAGCCCCAATGCTCTAGATACTTGCATTTGAACTTGATGGGAAAAATCATTTCATGACATATTTTAAAAAAAAAAAAAAAAGGAAGGAAGAAGAATTTTGTTCTTCTCAACTATCACGACACCTCGACTATAGTAAGTTCCATGAAAGTATGAGTCCCTTCACTTGGCAAACCAATCTACACAGGGTGAAATTACGGTCAAAGACTCGAGAATTATTCTTTCAGTTTTAAGAAGCTTAAAGATGCTACATAATTTTAAAGATTCGGAATTTTACTGAAAGAACACCAAGTTACCTCTTCCAAGGAGTTCTAGGGAGTAAGTAATGTAATCTTTTAATTGGGCCATGAGGTAAGAGCACTTCAGAGCTGTAGTCAATATGGACGTGAGCAGGGTCCACCATCCTTCACTCCGATAATCACACATCACGTAATCCAGCAACCTGACGGAAGGCAAGATGTCATCAGACACGCTCAAACAGCTTCACAAGAAAGGCCCTGAAGACTTCTTGGAGGAGATAACATGCTTGACTCATTTTATATACACGTCAGAAACACTTACTGAAATAGTTTAACAGGTAATTTCACGTTTAGCTAAACGTGGTTTCCTAAGACTTTGAGAACGACTGTACCAGCAGAGAGTACTTGAAAAAAATACCGCAGAAATGGAGTTTCATAGAAACAGAAATAAGTATGGAAATAATAAATCCTTCAAAACACATTTCTATTCTCATTTTGCTGTAAGATAATCAGATTACTTATAAAAATAAATGGGGAACAGGACTCACTTCAAAGCTTTGGTATAATCCTTTGCATAATAATACTCCTCTCCCATTTGAACCACTGTAAAGGGAAAAAGATCTTATGTACATAATTCTAAATTATTCAAAGTTGCATGAAACTGTGGCATATTATGAATACATACTTAGATGACTTTTCATTCTTGGACATTTATACTTCTTAAATTGTGCAACAGCATTGCTCAGAAGAGTTATTATTATTTCCTGTTAGATGAGAGAAAGTGTGAAACATTCCAATAAAAATAATCTCAGGTATTCCTTGAATACTGCAAAAAATAGTTTCTGTTGGGGGAAAAAAACAACAACAAACTTACAGAGTGAACAACACTTCTCTCCTTCAGCTGAATGGCAAGAATTCCCACCTTCTCTTTTTCAGGATCAGAAAGATCAAAACCTGTGTAAGATAAGACGCAACCCATTTTAGATAGCTCATTTAACATAAATCCTTCACATGAACATTGGATGTGTGCACTCCTTGAATCCTTTACTTAAATATAATGTATTTCAGATTCTTAAACATTCTAGAATTTTAAAGATTCTAAGAGCTGCTTTATTGGCATGGCAACTTCTCTGTGATCTCAGTTCTGAAGAGAACATTATTGAACTCAGCATTCTCTTGCCTAGTGGCATCAACCACCTGAAGAATAATACCAACATCATTCTCAATATAGAATATACTTTCTGGAAATTAAAGTAAATAATTTCTTAACAATTAAGGTTTGATTGTCACAGAAATTGCTGAAATTAAGTGTTTATCAAACCCAAAAAAGATGTAGAGAAATTTCTAAGGTGATACAAGTTAATACTGTTTTAAAAGATCTAACATAATAAATTGTCAAAGTTAACCGGAATTAAAATATTTAAATAGACCAAAGTGGTTGGTTAATTGTGTCATTTAAGACAAGAGATGTCCAAATGTTTTAATCACACTCATGTTTAATTACCAGTTATTCTAAGATGTAGTGATACAAACAAAACATCCTAAAAACTAAAGAACTGCGGAATCTTTAAAAAGATGTTTAGTGGTGCCTGGGTGGTTCAGTCGTTAAGTGTCTGCCTTCGGCTCAGGTCATGATCCCGGGGCCCTGGGATCGAGCCTCACATCAGGCTCCCTGCTCCGCGGGAAGCCTGCTTCTCCTTCTCCCACTCCCCCTGCTTGTGTTCCCTTTCTGGCTGTCTCTCTCTCTGTCAAATAAATAAAATCTTAAAAAAAAAAAAAAAATTAAAATTAATTAATTAATTAAAAAATAAAAAGATGTTTAAAAAACACACATTTTTACCTCAACATAATTTGTTACAGCCTATGTAGCCAATGGAAAAACTGTGATAGCAATCTGTGCCTTCTGAGGTTGAGAGAAAAGGGAGGAGGGAAAAATTATTTACTTAGTATTCCTTGTCGCCATGATCTTTGTCCATAAAAGTCAAGAACGCCTGTTTGTGTTTCTAATGGATCAGGATTGGGGTATGTTACAGAAGCCTGTAAAATAAAACATAGCCCTAAATAAGAGTTTATGAACCTATTACAAACCAACTCATCTTCAAACTTTGACAGAATAAAAATATTTTCATAAATACACATGCTAAACATATGTCCAGATATCAAAGTTGTGAATATTTTAACGTACATTAAATTTTCACAAACATGAAAAAAAGTTCCATTTAATACCTAGGCAGTTTCACAAAAATTAAACTGAATAAATCACCCTGATTCTGACAAATGATTTCATAGTAATGAACGCCTTAATTTTCTTTTCATCTTTGCTATAATAAACCAGTAAAAATGTTGACAATTATGTTTGATGTTTATTCCAAATGTGTAAGTGCTTTTTGTGCAAATGAAAATAATGTGATAAGGAGTTTTAAAAAGAAGACACTATTTTCCTTCTTTATCACTTGTGTATTAAGTCCTGGTATTCGTTAGGGAGGGATATTTTTGGCACCAGAATTTATAAATTTACACTGCTTTATTTTTCTTTCTCATCATTTTTCCCTCTGAAACCAAAATATAATGCAAGTACATTGTTGAGAAATACAGAAAACATCCAAAAGGAAAAGGATAAAAATTTAAATCACCTATAAATCTATTACCACTATTAACAGTGTATACATTAGGCTTCCAGATTTTCGATGGAAATATTTGTTGCCAATCAGAATAATTTTTCAACCTGCTTTTTTCATTTAAATATATTCTGTAAATTTCACATCATTAAATATTCTTCTGAAACATTACTTGTCATGGCTGCCTGCTGTCCCACATTTTAACAAATTCCCTATGTTGTTCATCGTGTTATTTATTTTTTACTTTACGATTAATAAGTCTGCCCTAAGAACTTTATAAGTAAATCTTAGTACTTCTCCCTTAGGATCTCTTATCTGCCTGAGACTTCCTGAAAACAGAATTCTGGGTCCAAAGATATGCATGATTTTGAGGCTTCTCAAATTATTATTTGACAGAAATATTATTTTACACTCCAACTAAGGATATTTGTTAATCCCATTTCCTTATATTCTTATAAAACATAGTTTTAATCACCTTTTAAAATACTGTGCTCAAATTTTAATATGCTTAATTTTTAGATACAAAACATGCAATGAAGTTATAAATCATACACAAGTAACGTGGTAGAAAACAGTGTAGTTATATCATGATTTAAGGGAAAAAAATCCAACCTTTTAAGTACTAACATGCAAACTGTTTTTGGAATCGTTTTTCAAGTAGCACTGTTGATAATGTTCACCTGTCTTCAGAGAAGAAAACTGCAGATTTTAAAGGAAAATAAACTGATAGAACTGTACAAATGTAAATGTATTTATACGTATACATACCACGTTCTTTAAATTTTAAAGGTGCTTATGGGGAAACTGGTATCTAACTATAATCACCCACGAGGAAGGCAAAATGAAATGTCAAGTTAAGAAACTGCAATTAACATTATGCCTCGAACAGATCCTTAAGAATTTTCCACAGAGGAAAACCCCAGGAAGAAAAAGAAGTCCGAAGTTATCCTCTCTGGTGGGTCAAAAGAAAGCATATTCCTCCAAAGTCCTTCAAACTCCTATGGCAGTGATCAACAGGAGTAACAGCATGGCTCAGACTAAACTGTGACTTTTATTTTAAAGTAATTTGCCCTTGTCTTATTGCCAATCATAAGTCAGTTCTTCACAGAAAAACTTCTGCTTAATCCACAGGTGGAAATGCAGTACTCAGGCTAAAACTGAAAATAACCGTAACTCCTGAAAATACAGAAGATAAAAACTGATTCTATTCAAAGGCTTGGAAAAAAACTATGAACATTAATTAGTCTGATCTTCTTTTGAGAGAAGATTAATACATTTCCTAAGCACTAGATAATACTGGAGTCGGTAACTTACTTCATGGCTACAGAGGGTTTTTGCAAGCTGCTTCCGCTCCTGGGCATAGTATGCTGCCTGCTGGTAATAGAAACCAGGATTCTGAGTCTGAATAGCTGTCAACCCTAACTTAATAGCTTCATCAAATAAATCTCCAAAGGCCTGGAATCTTAAAGAAAAAAAAAATCAAGAAATAAAAAAAGGATGAAAAAGAAAAAGGAAAGAAAAAGCAGCTTACTTCTAATAATTATTCATCCTGGAAACATAACCTCAGCAGACTGTGTTAAAATAATGCTACTGATGAACTGTAAATTGTTGGGTTTCTTGGTAAATACTACACACACTAATCACGGGTTACAGGTAACTTCTGCATTGAAGTCGACTCTTCTGTACTGACAAAGCGTTACAAATACACCATCAAAGGGTATGTCAACACAGTTCCCACTCCTCAAATACATCCATGCTTCTGGAAACAATTTCATTTTAGAATTTTTAAACATCAGTCTTGAATAGCAAGTACCATGCCAGCAGGGATTTTGTTTTATTCCTGGCTATATTCTCAGTACCTAGGCACATGGAGGAAACTCCATAAATACACGCTGAATAAAAGAGATGGTACCAGGAATTAAGTGATTTCCATTAAGGAACTCTATGAATCAATATTTAGCATTGCTGGAAACACACCCTATGCTAGCTAGATCTCTAAAAGCCTACTTACTGACAAAAAGCTTAGCTCAATTGAGAACCAAAGTCCACGCTAATTCCATTCCTCCAAACCCCAAGTACTTAAGAAAAAAAATTCTAGAAGTATAATTTAAAACATACTGTTTAGACATCCATGCAGCATGCTCAAAAGACAACTCTGCACTTCCGATTTTTTTCTTACACAAGTCAATGTGTTTTCGGAACTGAGCAATTGCATCCAAGGGGGTGTTGTGCTGAAAACACAGCCTACAGATCTGCAAAATGTAAAATCAACCCCAAAATAAAGAAGAAAAGAGAGTCAAAAGGCATATTCATTTAAAAATATGTAAAATGTGAGACTAACTTTAAAAAGACTATGACATTTCCTCTCTTAAATTCTTGGTAATAGGATGGATTTTCTCTACTATAATGGCTATGCTAAAATCAGCGGTTATATCCCCTGGATAAAGGAAATAAATTTATCCATATCTGTACTGAGTCTACTGTATACCTTAGAAAAGCTTATTCAAAGTATAGAAGAGAATACAAAAAATTATACCCAATGAAGAACGTAAGGATGGACGAAAATAAAATACTACTTCCTCCAGGACAGATTAACGTTGTTTTAGAATCGGCAGAAAGCTAAAGATTTTCTGTACCACCATTACAGCATAGTGGCCTCCATATCATTCTTGAAAACTTTTTATCTGGAATGCTATCTCAAAACAGTAATCATCTATATCTACGTAAGTAAAAGGACAAACAGAAGAAACGAAGCCTAAATTTATATCCATATGCTATCATCAGTTTTATATTTTAGGTACAAGGAATACATGAAAAGTTAAGTCTCTCATCCATCCCTGTCCCTCAGCCATCCAATTTCCTGTTCCAGAGGCAACCAGCTCCCAGCATGTTCCATGATACAGTCTATGCACGGACAAGCGTATGTGCATTTATAGATCAACTATACTTTTTAAACAAAGAGCATCACACTAAATATGCTGTTTTGTACCTTACTTTTTCACCTAATATTCCATATCAATAAGTAGAGCTGTCTCATTCTTAATGGTTGTAGAATATTCCATTGTCTGGGGTTATACTTTATATTAACCAGTCACTTATTGCTGGGTTGTTTCCAATCCTCTCCTATTACAAGATGCAATAAATATCCGTACGTATGTGATTTGCAAGTCTTGGCACATATATCAGATAAATTTCCTGAAATGGAATTGCCAGATCAAAGGGAACACCCACTCTAAATGTGTACGGTCATCACAAAAATATTCTCTACAGACGTTGTACCTATTTACGTTTACACAGTGAATTCCAGTGTCTATGTGCCCTCAGGCCACCATCCCAGTGCCAGCCATCTTTAAAGATGAGTGTGGAAAGATTAAAAGCAAAACAAAAAGCCCCACCTGCCTTCTGGGGGCATCTATTTCTACCATGTACAATCTTCAAATGCTTAACTAACAGGTATGAAAGTTTCCTCTCAGGTGATCAGCTACACATTTTGCATCATGGTGCCATTAAACCAATGAAGGCCTGCATAGTTCCGATTTGTTGCATCTTATAAAATTCAGTAACACAAGCAGCTTTCTTCTCACTCTCTCCTGCTCCCACTTAAAAACAGAAGACCCTCCTAAAGGAGTTTTACAAAAGTAAAACTGCTCTAAGAGAACTCTGAGACCCATGAACTCAAAACGAAGCATTACAATTAGGCTGTTAAGAACCAGGGTGCTATTTGAAATAAGGGATATAAAAGAGGAGAACATAATTAATCAAATATTTTTCAGAGCAAGTAACTAACTTTGGTTTTCAATTTCAAAAAGATAATCTAATATTTAAAGACGAGTTTCCTTTATTTGAAGTAGAACCATTACCTTGTAGTTTATAAATCCTGCCATAGTCTTTATTTCCAGAATATTAGTTTCATGGGCTCGCAATTCATGTACAAGATTATAGGCGGTCCTATAATTCCTAATATAAACATGTGGAACATGGTTAATTATTAATTTTAAGAAAAGATTCCCCAGAACAAATTATTAGAAATAAGAGACAATATTTAGTCAACATTTCTCAGCACTCAACAGCTCAGGAGTAACTTACACACTTCGATCTCTGATTTCCTGAGAAATGATCTATTGATTAATTAATATGTGGGAGGAATCAATGACGTTTCACTGAGAACAGAACCATCACACGTACGTTGTTCTGTGGCTAACATCTGCCGATAACAGACAGAAAATAAGTTGAAAATGGAAGTGGACAATTGTCCAGAATTACGTTAAAAAGTTAGCATTCTGTCTAAAAAAAAAAAAAGCTTTTTTAAAAGCACCATTATGAGCTTCTCCAACAAACAGAAATTGTATTAGCGAAGAAGGTGCTATCAAGACCGAGCACAGGTCAACGGCTTTTAAGGCCCAGTACCCCTGCAAGTCCAGAGGACACTGCTGATCTCTGGCATGGGCTGGAGACGGGGGAGTGGGATGGGAAAGGAGAGCCTGCTAGAAGGAGGCCTACCCTGAGGAGGGAAGGCAATGAGGAAATCTCAGTCTCCTCCAAAGATAACTCCTTGCTCCCAACTTCCTCAGGTAAAATTTTTCTTTCCAGAATTATTTTTGAGCAGAACTAGAAGTGAAGGTTTTTAACTAATACCATGGGTAAGGAACGAACTATGTTAAAGCCAGTTATAATCACATGGAGTCACTGAGATTGAGAGAACATAATCTGGTGTTCACCACCTCCACGATAACAAAAGAGGAAGACGTTTCTGCAATATTCCTCTGAACAACAGATTTACTTTTATTTTTTTTTCTTATTTTTCTGCCCTGTACGCTTAGCCTCTCTTCAGTTTTAGGATAGACCGCTGTTTTTTTATCTCTATCTTTTACTGCCACTGTCAATCTTCAAAAAATTGAGTGAAAGCTAGAAAAAAATGTTTAATTAAATTGTGCTCGTAAGTAAAAGCAAAGGAATAAAATGCGTGACCACTGCCAACACACATACAACTACTCTTCAAAGCTTCTAAGCAGAGCCTTTGTAGTAAAAATGAGGCTGAGCGCTATTATAAACTTAAACAAATTTAATTAAAAATAAAATCATAATTGAATTAAATAAATGCTCTATGCAGATTAAGAAATTCATACCATTAGACAAGATAATGTTTAATATACACTTAACTGTGGAAATCAGTCAACACAAAAATTTCACTGAATATACAAATAGTCAACAGGATGAGAAGAATTTCAATATGTTTCTTTAGATCATGAAATTTAATTAAATTAGACCAGAAAACTTTATGACTATGAAATTTACTTCTGATAAAATGAAAAATTTTTTTAAATCTCAAAAATATTATATTCCAGTCATCTCTAAACAAATTAAATATTACATACCTGAGTCTAACCAACATAAGCATTTTAAAATTAAAGTTTGGTTGAGATTCATAAGTTGCCTTTAATATGTTACTGTTAACACAAAAGTAAGAAAAATTTAGTTTGACAACTGTTAAAAACTTACTTCAGAGCATTTTGTGTATCTTGTTTCAATTCACTGAAGAAAGCTATTTTGAACTGATGTCTAACAAATAAAAGCTGAAAAAAAGAATAGAAAAAAGTTATCATTATTACACACATTCTCTTAAAATGTAAAAATTAGGATAACATTAAGAGGAGACATCAAAGTACGAAGGAAAATACTCAAAATTAAAGACCAAGAATTATTCCAACAAGCATTGTTAAGGAAGCTAAAAAATCTAGAAGAACTTTAAGGGCAAAAAGTAGAGAAACAAACTAGTTTTTAAAAAGCTTAAAAAAAAAAAACTTCAAAAGCATAGAAGCCAATTAAAAACATCAAAGCATTACAGATATTTAATAATCTCTTTGAAAATAACCAATGATAATAATCTGCTCTTAGAATGCTTCTATTAGTTCCTTCTTTAGGAAAAATAATTTACCTGGTGTGTTGTTTTATTCAAAAATTCTTTATGAGATTTCACTCTTCTGATCTCAGTGTAGTAATAAGTCTGTGCATGTTCATAAAAGGCATTTTCTAATCTGTTTAAAAAAAAAAAAAATCAACATTCAAACACTAAAGTTATTTTAAACCAAACTGTTCTCAAGAATCACCTTTGTAAGACCTGAAAGTAAAATCCTGACAGAGATGATGTCTAGCTTACTTCATGGTAAAGACAAAAAGTAAAGCAAAATATACTAAATTTCTAAATAAAAAATGTACTAGATAAGACCCCAAAAGCCATTTTGATTTATTTACAGTCTAAGAAATAACTAATAAAAATAACTTTTTTGTAATTTGTAGACATTAGGTGTTCTCTAAGATTACTTCCACCCCTTTCATTTTATAAGAAGTGTGAAAGAAAAAGATTTCCAATATTCACTTAATTTGACTATTTTTTGTGCTATTAATATTTAAGGTTAGAGGATAAGAAAGCTAATGGAAAAAGCACCAAAAATGAAAACTAGCAAATGAGGGGCACCTGAGTAACTCAGATGGTTAAGCATCTGCCTTCAGCTCAGGTCATGATCCCAGGATCCTGGGATCGAGCCCCGTGTCTGGCTCCCTGCTCAGCAGGGAGTCTGCTTCTCCCTCTCCCACCGCCCCCCCACCACTTGTGCTCTCTCTCTATCAAGGAAATAAATAAAATCTTTAAAAAAAAAAAATACTGGCAAGTGAGAGCAAAGTAGCATTTATAGGATTCAAATCCTGCTTCACTCCCTAACTTTGAGATAACATAGGAACAAAGAAAATTTGACCACAGATAGACAGACAACTCAAAGCTCCTTTTGTGAAAATAAATATGCATTACAAATATCTGCCTGGGGCATGAAAGAAAGCTAAATTCATAGTTAGATAAGGCTGGACTTCAAGGTTTTTCCTCCTCAGAATAAAACAGAATTTTGAAACTATATTCAAAGAGTTTAGACATATCTAAGGAAATGCTAAGAAAAAAAATGGAGGGGCGCCTGGGTGGCTCAGTCGTTAAGCGTCTGCCTTCGGCTCAGGTCATGGTCCCAGAGTCCTGGGATTGAGCCCCGCATTGGGCTCCCTGCTCGGCAGGAGGCCTGCTTCTCCCTCTCCCGCTCCCCCTGCTTGTGTTCCCTCTCTCACTGTGTCTCTCTCTGTGAAATAAATAAATAAAATCTTAAAAAAAAATGGATAAGCCAAAAACTTTAAATATTTGATATACTTCCTAAGGTAAGATTTTCTATTTTTATTTTTTTTAAGATTTTATTTATTTATTTGAGAGAGTGAGAGACAGACAGAGAGAGAGCACAGGAGCGGGGGCAGAGGGAGAAGGAGTGGGAGAAACAGACTTCTGCTGAGCAGGGAGCCCGGCACAGGGCTAGATCCCAGGACACCTGAGCCGAAGATAGACACTCAACCGACTGAGCCACCCAGGTGCCCCAAGATTTTCTATTTTTAAAACTACAGTTTTTAAAATGTTAAAACATGAAAATAATTAAAATTAGGTGCTAACTTTGAACCATACACTGTTTGAAAGAATATACTAACCTAAGCTGAACTATAAAGTTTTATAAATGGGTGACCTTTGTTCTGAAAGGCAAAATATGATACTAAAAAAAAAAAATCTGCTGGTTAGCACGACACTGATAGTCTATTGCCCTAAGAAGAAAGGTCTGGGGATTTGGAACACAGATTTTTAAAAAAGAAAAATCCTTAACTCATCACAAATTTGACAATTCTTTTAAAAGTATTTTGACTCAAAATGATCAGTGAAACTCTAAAGCACAAAAGATTCTCACAATCACTCAACACAACACACAGAAGTTTTATACACATTCTATTGCTTTGATACTTAAAAAAAAATTAACTAAATCACTGACGTCTTGTAGCCTGTAAACTAAATACATCAAAATGTTCTGAAAGCACACGAATGAGTGAGGGTGCCACCAGCAACTCTGCTAATTCCCCCCGAGGTCAGACACTGAATGTGAAGATTTACTGATATTCAGCTTTACCCTCTCTCTTAAGATAAAACGCAAATAGGAAGAAACGGTCTAATACTGTCTTCCCTCATCTCCTGTGGACTGTCTCACCCCTGGTGCTCACATCCAGAGTTTGGAGGTCCTAGGTCCAGAGCACTTGCTTTTTACATCAGCCATTTTGACACTGTACTCCTTATTTAAATGTGGCATTATTCCCAGGAAGGGCAGAAGCCACAATTCCTGCTTCCCTTAGCTGAAGAGGACCTTAAGGCAGGGTTTCTCAACGTCAACCCCACGGGTGTTTCTTTGTTGTGTGGGGCTTTCCTGTGCCTGGAAGGATAGAGAGCAGCATCCCTGAACTCTCCCCAAAAGATGCCAGTATTGGGAAGGAAGTCTCCGTGGGGGCCATGATAAATGTCTCCGGCATTACCTAGTGCTCCCTGGAGGCCCAAGTCACCACAGTTAAGAACCACTGGATTCAGGGACTGGATGGAGGACAATGGCTAAAAAGAAGGCTGCATGTGAACTCAGCCTTAAAAGTTGAGCCAGAGAGCCCAGAAAGGGGAGCTGGAAGGAAAGCACACTGACAGGAAGCCACACCATGAACGGGGAAATGATGCAGCGCAAAATCAAGGGCCTCAAGAGGTGGTCAAAGGCCGGCTCCACAGTCAGCATGGAGTCTGCTTGTCCCTCTCCCTCTGCTCTCACTCTCTCTTTCTCTCGGATGAATGAATAAATGAATAAAATCTTAAAAAAAATAAACTTCTTCTCTGCAACACTAAATGCTAGAAAACAAGGGACTGTGGTCACATATTTTGTGAGATATGGTTGTGTCCCAAGTCAGATGCCTTTCATATATAAGGGCTTTATAAAGATACTTAAGATACGATCGGCCTCAGACCCTTCTTAAAAATTACTTAAATAATACATCACCCTATCGAAAATGAAGCAATGAAGGCCAGAAATGAAGACACTATCATATGAAAGGACAAACAGGTCATGAAAGGACATATGGTGCTTACTGAAAAATACAATGGAAAAACAGGTAAATATTTTTTTTAAAAATGGAAGTTGACTTAGATATATATTTGGTGTCAATGAGGTAATGCTATGTGGCAGTTCAGCATGTGTTGTATGATTACATCCATTTTTACATTAAAAGAAATATTTGGACAGAAACTTAAGAAATTATTGATAGTGGTTCCAATAAGGGACTGGAGAAGGTTAAGGAGCTGAAAAGGGGGCCTTGTGTTTTCACCTCCTAGTCTCTATACCCTTTGAATTTTTTCCCATGAACATGTATTTTTTTTAATTAAATGAGTCTAAGCAACCAATTTTCTAGTGCCTCTGAATAATCTAAAGAAAAAAAATGTTTAAGATCTTTATTTACCTTATAATATAACCCACCAGGTGGTCAGTATGGGGCAGTACAAACAAAGATTTTCCTGAGAGTTCACAGGCATTACATAAAGCTGCGGCTCTTTCTGATGCAGTAACATCTTCTCCTGTTGACAAATCCCATAAAGGTGAAGAGAGAAATAAAACGATTTATGTATTTTTCTAAATGAATGGTTCCCCAAATCTAAACAATATAATTAGGAAGAAAAACCAAACCCCCTTTCACCATGTCAGCAGAAGGCCTCCTGGGATCCTTGAGGGGTCTGGTGGGGGGGGGAAGGGGTCAGTTCTCAGAAGTCCCACAGTACATATCTGTTAGGAAAACCCTGTGGAATTTTCTACTGAGCCAAGATAGACAGGCCAAGTAATGCCAATAGATATGCCACATAACTGTTTCAAAACTGTAACTAAAAACAGAAGCAATAATCCAGTGGTTTCTAAAACTCGGATCCCACTAGTTTCTAAAGAGAAACAAAAAAAAACATTTTGGCCTCTCAAAGTCTTAGAATGTAGGAGAAATAAGCATTTGAAGCTAAGACATTTTCTTATAAGAAACTAGAAATCCTATTGCACTTCTCTTTGTCCTATAGCAAATTAAGAAAAAAAAATCACAGAAAGCATTTCAAACTGACTTCAGATAAGTAAATAACATTCTTTTTTAAAAAATCAAGTGATGAGGGGCGCCTGGGTGGCTCAGATGGTTAAGCGTCTGCCTTTGGCTCAGGTCATAATTCCAGGGTCCTGGGATCGAGCCCCGCATCGGGCTCCCTGCTCCTTGGGAGCCTGCTTCTCCCTCTGCCTCTCTCTCTGTCTCTCATGAATAAAAAAAAAAAAAAAAAATCAAGTGATGAAATGTTTTGTCAATTTATGTATGCCTATATAGTGAGGTAAGTGGAACTGGGAGGGAAGAGTATTTTAATATTAATTTTTATTAATATTTTAATTTTAGCATTTTATTTTTTACGATAGGCACTTATTCATGCATTATCAGTACTTTTTAAAGTGAACACACCATCTTTCCTATAATTGAATGCATAAAAGATTTTAACATCAAAAACTATACCTCCTGATAATAAGAATGAGAAGTATAAAGCAATTAATTCATTATCAATTAACCTTGTGATACCTGGTGGCAAAGGAGTTTTCTTCTGAATCAGAACCACTGCAACTTTTGTGTTTCTCCCTTGCAAACTTTGCCTGCAATGGAAAAATAATAAAATTAATTAAATATACCTAAATTGTTTTGACTTTTAAAAAATGTATTCAAGACTCTACATAGGGGCACCTGGGTGGCCAAGTGAGTTAAGCACCTGCCTTTAGCTCAGGTCATGATATCGGGGTCTTGTGATTGAGCCCCACGTTGGGCTCCCTGCTCTGTGGGGAGTCAGCTTCTCCCTCTCCCTCTGTCCCCCCCCACCTCCGCTCGTGCTAACAGATGAATAAAATCTTTAAAAGAAAAAAAAAGAATTTACATAAAGTACAAGCTTGATGATTCAACTGAAGAAAGAAAAATTTCAACTAAAAACCCCCAAGATTAGAGGAAATCTTCCTGCATCCAAAGAAACTTGTATGCTACAGTGATTTCAGTTTTAAAAGTATACTCTCATATCAAGCTTCTAATCCTGACAAAAATCTGCTTTAAATATGTAATTTCATGTAGAAGTTATAAGGCAACTTATTTCTTGATGGTGATACATTACATACTGGTCATCCAAAAGAATTATTTTGCAACCGGAATGGTGATAAAACAAGTGTCTTATGAGACTAAATAGCAAATTACTATACTTCTCCCCCAATTTATAAAGGCAAGGAAAAAAACCATTTGGAAATTCAGGCTAATGTGTCTTCTACATTTCTTCACACACCTTAGCATTGGTGAAGTTAAGCATTCACGTTAAGCTACCTGTCAGGAACCAGACAAGTGTCACTGGAGGTCAGCGATCCCCGAATGAGCGCTGCAGTCTCAACAGCACTTGGCTGCCTTGAATAAATGTTGGGAAATTGTACAACCTCCCGTGGTCCGTCCGATACACGGAGAAGACTGTACCTGACGATTTCCACTCTGGTAGCGCACTCGGACTGCTTTTCTTTCCACTGGGGCTCATCCCAGTCCAGTTCATAGAACACAACCACCAGGGCCGGCACCAGATTTAGATGTTTATTCATCCAGCCGGTCTTCAAAATCCCCTTAGGAATGTACCATTCATAGGAAGTTCTCTGCGAACATTGGCAAAAGCAGAAGACACTGATTTGGTAACAGCAGAAGCCACCTATTACTGAGTGGGACGCACTTCCTGTGCATTCATCTCATTCCACATACACACGACACATTTTTAAGATGAGGAAATTCAGGCCTACAGAGATCACACAAGAGCTAACAAGTATTGGAGACAGAATCACAACAGTGAGTCTGCTACAGTTTCCATTGAAAGAATAACCGGGGGCGCCTGGGGGGCTCAGTCGGTTAAGCAGTTAAGCGTCTGCCTTCAGCTCAGGTCATGATCCCAGGGTCCTGGGATCGAGCCCTGCTTCAGGCTCCCAGCTCAGCAGGGAGCCTGCTTCTCCCTCTGCCTCTGCCTCTCCCCCTGCTTGTGCTCTCTCTGTCTCTCTCTCAAATGAATAAAATCTTTAAAAAGAAAAAGGAAAGAATAATCAAAGCCAAAGCACTTCTAAAAATGTCCAGGCTCTCAAATATCCTGGAAATCATTAGCCCCTTTCCAGGTGAATTCTATTCCTCACCGTTCCAGTTTCCGTTCTTGTCAAAGCAGCTCAAATAAAATATGATCTAAAACCCAATATGGCTTCATTTGTTTCAAAGACACGTTGCCAGGATGGCATTTTACCTTACTTGTGGATGGAGGAAAAAAATGAAGGACAACTCTTAAGTACAGAAGTGCGGTAGCAGTCACTCGGGGGTCAGCACTAAGCGGCTAAGTGCCACACCGTGGGAGGGACAGGGGTTGGTGTGAATGTTAGCCCTGAAGAAACTCGCTGAAACCTCAAATCGCTTCCAAAGCGCTGGTCCCAACTCAGACAACTCCCAACAGTCTCTTCAAGTGAGGAAAGACAATAAGGACGGTAAGGCAATCAAACACAAAAAACCCAGGGACTCAGGAAAGAATAAGGAATGGGCACATGAAGAGCTCCCGCGCTGCAGAATGGATCCAGGACAAAAGGCGGAGGGCTGTGCTGGGCACTGGACCTCCTAGACACAACCTCCACACTAAGAACAAACACGTAATGGCCAGGGTACTCTCCCTTGCACAGTTCAGAGAGAGCACGCAGCTTTGACAACCAGGGATATGAAACCACATCTCTACTGGTCTGCCCCACATGAGCAGAAGGATCAGCCAGCCACCAAATCCACAGGTCCTACCCTTCCAGAGTTTCACTGAGAAGGCCTTGCGTTTACATTTTTCATAAACATCACCAGTGATGATGATATCCTTGGTCCAAAGACTGGTCTGTCAGAAACATTGCTCCAGGGCAAAAAATAAAAATAAAATAAAAAAAAAGAGCAGGTGGCCTATTCTGATCAGTGTGTCTTGTTAACCGACTTTCAGACCAACTCATAAGATTATGATAAACAACAAATCAATGTACATGATTTTCTTTAAAAAGCAAAGTAAGCACTTTTTATTTATTAGCTGCTATTATTAACATCATTCTCTGATTTTTGTAGGTAAATCCGTCTCTTCTATGTTCAACCTAAAAGTCAGTTTTGAACTTTCCTCCCTCCACACTAAATAAACTGTTTTAGTTTATGTACAACTCCCCAGGGACAGAGAGCTTATCTTATTTAAATTTCTATCACCAGCCTATTGCATACTTCCTAGTACCTAACCCAAAAAAGCAAGTGCTCAAAAGGGATGTGGGAAATTGAACCAAACTGCAAAGACCGTGGATTCTATAATGACACTGGGTAATGATAAATGGGGAATGTGAGATCTTCCCTTTACTTCTTTTTTCTTTTATTTATTTATTTGACAGAGAGAGACACAGCAAGAGAGGGAACACAAGTGGGGGGAGTGGAAGAGGGAGAAGCAGGCTTCCCGCCAAACAGGGAGCCCGATGCGGGGCTCGATCCCAGCACCCTGGGATCATGACCTGAGCCAAACGCAGATGCTTAACAACTGAGCCACCCAGGCGCCCTGAGACTTCCTTTTAGAGAGGGCTTTAAGCAAATGCAAAAAAAGAAAACCCAGGATAGAAAGCTTAATAATTATAAAGTAATTATTCCTCTGGGGTTAAAAAAAAAAATAGCTATCATTAAACATACCTATAGTGTATTACATACATGAAAAAGCCTTGGGTTTTCTTAATGAATCACTATAACCATGGCTTTGATAAACTCAGGGGTTTTCCAGCACAGACATTAGGAACAAAAAAGGTATACACGCATAAAGAGGAAGAGAGGGAGAGAAGGAAAAGGCCCCATGCAATCATGTCATTACCTTAGGCCTACATTTGGGATACTCATGGTCACCTGGGAGCACCTTGAAAGATATTGGTACCCGATCAGCCCTCCGATTGGCACAGAAAGCGTCCCAGACAGCTCGATGGACAGCATTATAAACCACATCCAGGCCCGTAAGGGTAACAAAAGCCATAGGCCGACAACATAATTCCACAGGGAAGTCCCACTGTGTGGGGCTCATGTTCAAGGTGTCAGGAAAAATCTGAAATACAAATGTAAATACATTCAAAATGTCTTAAAAGCCCATATCCATATCTCATCTATGAGCCTCCACCATTTATAAAACATTACAAAAAGGCAAGAGACTGAATCTTTTCGAGTGTCTGCAGGAAGGTGATCAAGTTAAAATAGGTCTCATGACTCATTTCTGACATAAAGAAAAATAACTGCTGACTTACATATAATAAATACAACTATCTAATTTCTTCGTAATTGCTAACATCTAATTTCTGAATTCCTGGGAAATTATTAAAATAATATACTACTTATTTAAATAGCTATGATTTCTCACTTCTCCATAATTAATGTAAAGTGTACTATTTAAAGGAAAATCTAGAAGAGATAAACTAACAATGAAAATGTCTAGGAGGTACAAGTTTCCACTGTGTCCTTCAGCTGACAATCAACCTATAATAAATCCTACCACACGCTAATTATAGAAAAGCAATTATATAAAACTGTATTTATTCCAAAGAAAATTGCCATTATATTTTAAAGACCATTTCTCATTTCCAAAATCATGTATCAAGAGTTCCTTTTCAAAGGTGATCTTCCCAGTATATCTTACAGACCTCAAATGCAATTTTTGTGAAAAGTGAAAAGCACTGTACCACTACTTGATAACCAAATATTTTTAGCTGAAAAGTTAATTTAAAAAAGATCATTAGGCTTCTCACACTTAAGTACCAAAAGAATAATGGGTATTGAATAAATGATTTGGAAAGCTTACCAGAAATGACAAATTTCTATAAGACATAGAAGTTTTAGAATTATTTAAGCAGATATTTTCCAGACAGGATTAAGCTATGAGGGCAAAGGATCACCAGTTCAGAGAAAGAAAAACTCTAGTTCTAGGGAATTTGGGGTTGAAAATTAAGAAGAGATGGTCAAAACACATTATACAGGGGCCTTTGCTTTATACCAAAGAATCTAGATTAGAGCCCTAAAGGTCCATTTCTTCATTTAAAAACCCCAGAGGCTCATGAGAATTAGCTGTGGTCTTTGAATATGGAGTGGAAATAAGGGATCTAGAAATGACTTACAAAGCTTTAAATCACAGTGCTGTCCAAAAGAAATATAATATGAGCCACATAATTTAAAATTTTCTAGTCATATTAAAAAATAAAAACAGGTGGAATTTTAATATTCTATTTAACCAATGTGTCCAAAATGTTAATACTTCGACACAAATATAAGTTACTGAGATATTTCACTTTTCTGTATCAAGTCTTCATTATCTGATGTGCATTGTACATTCACAGCACATCTCAATTCAGGCTAGCCAATTTCACATGCTCAACAGCCACATACGGCTACTGGCTATCATAATGGACAGCCCAGCTTAAATTATTGTCATTCTGTCCCCAAAAATTAACGTATGAAAACTGTATCAGAAATTCTTGCCACACACTATTAAAAGCTTTTGGCACCTGAGACAGTACTGCTTATTCTACAGCAAAGGGATGGGAATGGGAAAAACACCGGCAAAGGACAGGTGCAGAGGTTGTGTGGATCTTAATGACAGTCTGCAGAAATTTCCAGATCTCCTAGAAGCCAATGAAGCAACTAACAAAGTAGGACATGCAAGGAGGTGCAAAAGTCATAAGTGAACACGCTGGAAGGGAGATCATGTAACGCAAGGGGAAGTACTCTGGAAGCTGGCGTGGAAAATACTAAGGAAGGTTCTTGAAAAGGATAACATACTGCAAAGAAAGGCGACCTAATCAAAGTGGCAGGTTAAAAAACACAACGTGGTCACTATTTTTTAATTCATGCAGGTTCAGGGTGTAGTACACAAGGCTACTAAGGACTGCAAGACGATTCTAAGGGGAATGACAATTTGGGGCCGGGATGGAGCGGGGGTGGGGGCGGGGAACAGATGTTGAGAACGCGAAGCACCCACTTTACTTAGAAAGACACCATCCCCAGGGTCTCAGCATTCTGCCCAGGGAGATCCAGTGAGGAAAGGGAGAAATAACGCCGCAGCCCTCAAGGCAGACGCGATCTTCCCCCTCTCCTCTCCCTCCCCTTAAAGCCTGAAGGCCCTAGGGGCTGGAAGAGAAATGCCAGGGCTGCACCCGCAGACGCCGAAGGAAAACGCAGCCCCCTCCCCCTCAAAACCAGCACTGTTCAGAGCTAGCGCTCTCCCTCGGCGGCCTCGCCGGGCCCCGCGGGTCTCCGGGGCCGGACTCACCCAGGCCGCACGCCCCGGGCCCGCTGCAGCTGTGGCCGGTCGCCGCAAGCCGGGGGACGGCGCGGGGAAGCAGGTAGGGTGTCACAGAACGCCGGGGGCCGTCCCTACCGCCACCGCCCCAGAGCCCGGGGCCCGCAAGCGAGACTTCCCGGCACTCGCCGGCGCAGGCACAGGAAGCACTTTGGGCACCTGAGTGACAGCGCTCTACGCCAACCGCTGTCCCGAAACTTAACGCGGCTCCACAAAACGTAGGAAGACGCTCCATTTCCGTAGGAAATAGGGGTGGGGAGAAAAGGAGCCAATAGGAAAAGCGGGAAGGAGGAGGAGGCGGAGCCTCTGCCGCTACCGCCCTGCAGCGTCTCCCTAGTCGCCCCGGCGCCCCACCCTCGGCGGCCTCGGGCTCCCCGCCCACAGACCTCCCGCAGGCAGCTTCGCGCTGCCCGGAGGCCGGGGGCGCGCGTGACTCTCGTCCGCGGGGCGAGGGGTGTGCCTCCCGCGGCCCAGGGCTCTGAAGGGGGACGCCCCGGGCTCGGGGCCACTGCTCTCCTTTCGCGTTGTCGCCGACGCCCTCCCGGGGGGCGTCCCGCAGCCGGCGCGATGAGTGCCAACGAGGACCAAGAGGTGAGTCCCCCTGGCTGGACGCCCCTTCCCCGCGCCGGCGCGGTGCCTCGGCTCCGAGGGACGGCGGCTGAGCCCCCGGGGCCCTGCTGGGACCCGGCGCCGGGACGAGCGGCCCCGCACGTGCCTTCGCGCCTACAGCGGACAGCCTGGCTAGGGTGCCCCAAGTTTACGGGTGTCCTGCGAGGAGAGGCCAAGCACACGGGAACGGGACAGGTCCGCCTCTGCCTCCGCTCCCGCTGTAGTTTTCAGTTTTGCAAGCCCGGGAGTGGCCCCACGTCTCCTTAATGATAAGGATGCGTGTCCTTGGTAGGCGACCCAGTGCTCTTGCCTCGCCTTAAATCCCCGGTGTTCTTGTTCAGCGCTTGTGTACGGAGTTAAGCTGTTTGGAATCTGATTACCTTAAAATTTTTAAATTTCTTGGCTGGTAGGGAGAGACTTAATTGAGTTAGTTAAATTTCCGGTGGAGGAAAATAATGACACTGTCTCCGATTTCTGGCCTTTCTGTTTGGTGGAAGCATTTATCCATCTGGTAGTTGTCCAATGGAAATTAAGGCTATTTTGTGCATGCACGTACCACCTGAATCGTAGAGTTCATGCTCAGCTGTTTTCTCATGAAATGCCACTTTGACATTGAATCATACGATCAGGGAATGATAACAGGTCATCTCTAGGGGAGCCGTCTAATTGTGTAATGTGTCCAGATGAGGAGAAGAGTTTGCAAAGGTAAAGTGGATGCCCCAGGGCTGCACAGTGAACATGTGGGTAGAATCAGAACTAGAATCCGAGTCTCTTAGATAAGAAATTCACTCTTCATTTAAAATATATTTGTCGAAAGTTAGCACTTTTACAAGATAAATGTGACAGAATCCCTGGAATGGAAGTTACCTTAAAAGGACCCAAAGTCCAACAAGCTGGTGAAATCCCTTCTAAACTGTTCTTGCCAAGTGAGTTTCTAAGTCGAGGCACCAACAAATTCTTACCGTGCAGCGTGGAGCCTATCACATATTTCTCGAAGTTTGACCCATGGAGCACTGCCTTAGAATCATCGGGGTGGTTGCTAGAAAAACAGGTGCCTGCCACTGTATTTCAGATTTACTGAATTGGAATTCCTGGGGGGCCCAAGGATCTCCATTTTAACAATAGAATTCCATTCTTCTTCCACATGACTGATTTTCAGATCTTTGAAATCAGTTTTCTGCCCCGTTTTTCAGATGTCCTCTTCTTATACTAAATGATTCCTTTTAGCTTTTTTCCATATGTCCATTCTTTTTGTTCCTTCATTGTCTTGAAATTGTGTGTCTGTGGACAGATTAAGTGTACTAATGTCCTGTTTTAAAATTGTGACATCACAGTTTTCTACAGTTAGTTACTCTCAATTACAACCCTTTGAGTTTCTATACAAAGCAATTTGTCTTTCATCCTCTACTTGTATGTTTAGGGATCTAAAGACAAGTTCTTCCACTTACCTATAAAATTTCATCTCGTTAGATGGTTTTTCAAGGGCATTTTGAATTCATATTCAGCCACCAGCATGATTCACTGTTCCATCAAATTGTCATTCATCAATTTCATAAGGCTGCCTTCAATTTTTGTTCCTGACCTACTCGTTAGTTAAAATACAGGAAAGGATTAAGGGCAGGAGGAGTAGCACTATATTTTGAGTAAGGTGGTTCTTTCTAATCTAATCTTGGTTGTTCTTAAATCCAGTTGAACTCCTGTATTTTTTTCACGTGAAGGTAGAAAGAGAAACCCAGGTAGACTGTTCTGTGCCTTTCCTTGATGTACCAATCAAGTTATCCTCTCTAATAAGGGTTGCTTACATTTATCTTGTTTTTCGTATGCTTGCCAAGGCTTACAGACTGCTACTCTTTAGTCCCCTAGGCCCCCACAAACTATTTCTTTAATAATCTAGTCTAAAATTTTATCTGTCTTTAGTTTGTAGCTTTCATGACATCCATCTTTTTTTTTTTATAAAGATTTTTTTTATTTATTTGACAGAGAGAGACACAGCAAGAGAGGGAACACAAGCAGAGGGAGGGGGAGAGCTAGAAGCAGGCTTCCCGCTGAACAGGCAGCCGGATGCGGGGCTCGATCCCAGGACCCTGGGATCATGACCTGAGCCGAAGGCAGACGCTTACCGACTGAGCCACCCAGGTGCCCCCATGACATGCATCTTTTTGAAAACTAAAAAATGTACCAAAGTACTGTCTTTCTTTGCTTCTCTTCTTCACCTGTTCATCAGTAATCACAACGGTGATTGAGTCTTCTCATTTGTCAGCCCACAGTGTTCTAAGAAATATTTCCAGGCAAGGATTATTAGTTACATTTTCTCTTGCAGTCCTTTTTTCCATCTTGGATAGATCCTTGTCAAACCTTTTTCTAACCATCTTTTTTTTTTTTTTTTAAGTTCTTTTCATTATCTGTAAGTGGTTTTTCAAGTTTCATATCATTCTGTGGGAAGGATTACAAATACAAATAATACATGTATACAGTGGGGAATTATTGTGCTTTGTATTTCTCATCTCCAAGTATGACGCGCTCTCTACCCCAGCCTAGGACACATGCTCTGGAGTTGCTTTAAACTGACTTATTTTCCTCCTTGCTAGAAAGGAGAAAATAAGATATTCTTCTCAGGATTAATGTGAGAATTAGTGAGATAGTGCACTGTAAAATGCTTAGGAGTGCCTGGCACGTAATTTTAAAGTAAGTATTAGTATTAATACTGTGTTGCTGTACTCACATATATATGTTATATACACATATTACAAACATCAAAGGCCATCTAGAGTAGCTAAGTTTTACATAGTTGAGTGGGCTTGAATCAGACACTAAAGACCCTCTATTTCTAATCCACTTATACCACTAAACAAAACTCATTTGAATCATTCTTTTTTCAGATGGAACTGGAAGCTCTACGTTCTATTTATGAAGGAGATGAAAGCTTCCGGGAATTAAGTCCAGTGTCATTTCAATACAGGGTAAGATGTGACATGACTAGGAGCCCTTGCCACTTTGCTAGAAAAGATTGAAGGTTGCTAAAGATGCTTTCATTTTTTAAATGATTTTGTTTTATCAATTTAATGGTTTAAATTTGTTACGTCTTTGGATTTTCTGAAGCCTTTGCACGAAAGCTCATCACCGTGACATCAGTTATTTTTAGCTTTTGAAAACAATTCAGAAACTTTGAAAAACTAAGATAAACTTGTTTTTATTGTGTCAGAATTATCAAATGTTAGAAGTGGAAGAAACCTTAGAAATTATATGGTCTTGCCTTCTAACTTTAAAGATAGCGTCTCTCAGTCATAACTTCCCAAGCTTTCCCAGCTGATGCTGATAAATACTAGAATTAAAATCCAGGTCTCTATTCCAAGTCTAGTATTATTCCCCCCCACCACCATGATATAGTCAAGAAAAGTTAGTATTTTCCTAATTCCATATAATCAATATGTGTTAATATTTTTTACATATTCTTTAAAAGGGAGTTTGCTCATAACTGTTCTCAACATGAAACAGTACCAGTATCTTGTTTTGTAAATAAATAACATAAAGCATTTTTCCAGATGATTATAAGTAGTAGTGGTGTGAGAAAGTTTTTTTTGTATGAGACTTAGTTATTTACATCATCATTTAAAATAAATTATGTGATAAGTGATCCTTATGTGTCATTATTATAGACTGTTACAGAAGATGAATTCTTTATCATTACTTTCTTTAGAGACTCTCTTCTCTGTTTAGCTCCTCTCAATTCCCTTTCAAGCTCAACAGTCTTTACACTACTCCATGGATAGAACAATAAAAAAACTTAATGGCCAAGGTTAACACTGGGGTTAAGTCCTAGGCCCTTTGATTTGAATCCAGCTGCCTCCCCAGACTTCCCCAAACACTGCCACTTACCCCTTACCAAGTGGGAGATTGAGAACTAAGTCCTACAGGAGGGATACTCTGCTGTGACTGCAGGATGGATTTCAAGGGTATAAAACGTGAGGTTTGGAAAGCTTGTTTGTGTTGAGAGCCAGAGGACCTAGGGTACAGGTCTGCCTGGGTCCTGGTCAGACCCCTCAGTTCCTCTTTAGCAGACTGGTTTCGTAACCTCCTGAACGATTCTCCCCTTTCAGTTCGGTCGGAAGCTTCCCCCCACACCTCACCGGTAGTCCTCCTGCAGACGTCTAGGTGGTTCTCTGAAACACATAATTAGTTACCCCATTCCTTCGTTTAGAAGGGTTTCCCCATGGGTTTCTCCTGCCTATAGAATAGGGATTAAATTCCTTAGCTTGACACTCAAGGCCCTTCTGTTTGATTCAGATTGCCTCTCCAGACTTTCCCAGCCACTACCATTCATGAGACACAGTAGCCTGTGGAACATTTCCCTGCATTTTTTTAGGATTTTATTTATTTGACACACAGAGAGCGACAGCAAGAGGGGGAACACAAGCAGGGGGAGTGGGAGGGAGAGGGAGAAGCAGGCTCCCCGCCGAGCAGGGAGCCTGATGCGGGGCTTGATCCCAGGACCCCGGGATCATGACCTGAGCTGAAGGCAGACGCTTAACGACTGAGCCACCCAGGCGCCCCTCCCTGCATTTTTTTAATACGGTGCCTGTGGACATGCCATTTGCTCATGCCCTCACCTCACGTCCCTCATCCAGCCTACTTCTCCTTTAATGCCTAACTCAAGCTCCTCTGTATTTGGGCCTTGTCTTCTAGCTTTCCCTTGACTTCAAAGCAGAATTGACCATTCCCTATTTCTTCATACTTTGTTCTGTCTCTTGTAAACTTTTAATCGTGCTGCGGTTTCGTGAGTTACCTAAATGTCTGCTCCCTTGAAGACAGGAATGATCTTACCTCTATTTTTGTATTTTCTGTACCTAGGACTGTAGGAGACACATGGCACCTTGTTCCTACCCACACCTTGAGTAAGGACTTAGTAATTGCATAGAGCAAGTAACTTTTACCACTTTTTCACTATCTCTGCATTTGAAACACAAGCATAAACCAGTGATGTCATCAACTTACATAGGCGTATATCAGCAGGTCCCTAAGTTTATCTGACATAATTTTTTTTTTAAGATTTTATTTATTTATTCAACAGATGGATGGAGAGAGAGCACAAGTAGGCAGAGTGGCGGGCAGAGGGAGAGGGAGAAGCAGGCTCTCCGCTGAGCAGGGAGCTGGACGTGGGGCTTGATCCCAGGACCCCAGGATCATGACCTGAGCCGAAGGCAGCCGCTTAACCGACTGAGCCACCCAGGCGCCCCTATCTGACATAATGTCTAAGCCTCACCTTATATTGGTGTGTCTTGTGATTGAGGGTGAGGGGAAGGGAATAAAAAATCAGTGGTCAGAGAGTAAAGGTGAATCAAGTGACAGTTTGGGGTGAAAAAATTTTAAATCTATTGCTGTTGTCTAAAAATAAATATTTTTTAAAAAGCAGCACATACACTAAAAATATTACAGAGGAGATCAGCATAGCCCTACGCAAGGATGAGATGCTGACTCATGAATCATCCCATAGTTTTATTAGAAAAATCACCATTTTGCAACCACCAACATGATGATCATTTCAGGCAAGGCTCATTAATGGATGCTAAAACCTTGGACTGAAAAGTTGTTGAGAAGCAGTATATTCACCTGGTTTTGTAGTGTCACTCCACAGATTACTTGTTAATTACAAAATCGAAAAGGTACCTTTACACTGAAGAGATTTGAAGAATATCACCTTAACCGAACTGATCAAGCTTAGTATCACCAGTGATGATTCCAGAAGATCTTATGTGCCTCCTTATATGATGCTATGGGAATATGCCACATCACCTGTGTAGTATCCCTACCAGAATATTTAATCTGAATTGGATGCAGGAAACAGACAGTCCTGATCTGGGGACATTATACAAGAAAACTGGCCTTCAATTCTTTTTGTCATGAAAGATATTTAAAAGGCAGGCAGGGTGGCTGGGGACTGTTCTAAATAAAAGCAGAATAAAGAAATTTGACAACCAAATGTAATCCATGATCCTCAGTGGATTATGGATTTGTGGGTTGAGAAGGTGGTTTATTAAAGGACACTTTGGATATGAATGGGAAATTTTTTAGATGGAGTACGAATTAGATAATATCTCTGTGTCAATGTTGAATTTCTTGGGTGTGACAATGGTAGTGTAGTTCTAGAGGAGAATGTCCTTATTCTTAGGGTACTTTACCCTGTAAATCTTTAAGGATGTTTCATCATGTCTGCTGCAACTTACTTTCAAATAGTTCAACAAAAACCAAAGGGAAAAAAAAAAGTTACCCTCATTGAGGGAGGGGGCGATTCTGTAATAGAAAGAGAAGTGGAAGGAGGCAAAGGTATTTGGTGAATAAGATACATGTCAGTGAGTGTTCATTGTCCTATTCCAGTTTCTCTATGAGATTAAAATGTTTCAAATACAAAGTTGGGGAGAGAAAAAGAAACAGAAAAGACATCTTTAAATTATCCAGGTGAAGGGAGTCAAAAGTTACAAACTTCGGGTTATAAAAAAAAATTAGGGATGTAATGCACAGCATGGTGACTATAGTTAGTAACATTGTATCGCATATTTGAAGGTTGCTTAGCCAGTAGATCTTGAAAGTTCTCACCCAGCCTAAGGCATTCCTAAACCTTATCTCTTTACCTTTTCCTTTTTTCTCTAAATTTTACATTTCTTTTTCTGGTCTTGGTATTGTGCTAATGCATATCAATCACTTGTTTTTAACGCCTCGTCTGATTTGGCAATTAGAAAACTTAGGGCAAAGATTAGGTCTTTCAAGTTGGTGGATTATTATTTTTGTCCATTCTCTTCCTGTCCCCCGCAGTTGATGTCTTATCTTTGTCCCCAGAAAGCTCTGATGAAAACAAAAATTTAGGTAAGACAGTCTTGATACTAGAAAAAGCTGGAGGGCTGGTTGGAGAGACAGGCCATGGACATCAAGTCAGGTTCTGTTAATATGGCCGTCACCCCCTGCCAAGTCTCAGCCTGTACCCCTGAACTTTTCAGAATACTACGTTTCTGATCTGATCATGAGCATCGGCAGTAATTCATCATTTTAAAAGTCATAATTAAATATTCTGTGTTTGTATCACTTTTTACAAGCCTAAGATTTCCCTTTTCTTCAGATAGGTGAAAATGGTGATCCCAAAGCCTTCTTAATAGAGATTTCCTGGACAGAAACATATCCCCAAACACCTCCAATTATATCTATGAACGCTTTTTTTAACAACACCATGTGAGTAGTGTTCCGTTTTCATTGTTTTTTTGTAATGCTGTCTCTTACTTTTCTCTCAGCAATATGTTTCTTGTGCATTATAGATCATCGGCTGTAAAGCAGAGCATATTAGCCAAGTTACAGGAAGCAGTGGAGGTCAATCTCGGGACCGCCATGACCTACACATTGTTTGAATATGCCAAGGACAATAAGGAGCAGTTCATGGAGAATCACCAGCCCGTGAATTCTACAGTAAGCTCGTGCTTCGTTTTGGTTTCACTCTGCTACTAATTCATCTTTGCTAGTTATTATTTTTTTTTAATTGGAAGGAGGTTTTGTGTTAGATTGAAAATAGTTAGGGGCGTGGCGTGGCTTAGTTAACTGCCTGCCTTCAGCTCAGGTCATGATCCCAGGGTCCTTGGATGGAGCACCCCCATCGGGCTCCCTGCTCAATGGGGACTCTGCCTCTCCCTCTGCCTCTCCCCCAGCTCGTGCTCTCTCTCGCTCTCTCAAATAAATAAATAAAATCTTTAAAAAAATAAATAAAATAAGTTACATCTGAGTTAAATAAGAATAGTAAATTTTAAGTTTCTTAGTGTCTATTTAACTTGAAAAATGAAATCATATCCTTTAGATCTTACCCTTCATATAAGACCAGAATACTTCATGTACCCACCAAAAACTAAGGTGGTGTTGAACCAAATATTTGTTTAAATGTATTTAATGTCTTCATAAAGCTCAGATTGAGGATTTCTGATGTGGTGCTAAAATACATTTGAAATTACTTTCTTCATGAGCCTTCTTTAGTTGTCAATAGTCTTGCCCCAGTTCACTTTGAACTTGGTGCAAGCTTGAAGAGACTTTATTAATAGGAAAAAAAATTATTTTATTTCTAACAGTATTTTAGGACATCATCACCTTTTATGACCGCAGGCGTCTCTTTTTAGAGCTGCACCCAGTCATGTGCTAAAAGGCTTTCCGTGGTCAGAGTCTGTTGAGTTCTGTGAACCAGGCCAGTGGCTTTCTGAGAGCAGCGGCCCTGTTGTCTTCCCCTTGAGCAGGTCTGCCTTCCACATGCCTAACAGAACACAGAAGAACACTGAGGGCAGCTCTCTAGTGGTAGAAGGTGGTAGCAGAGCTGGTGGACTATGGGCCACACCAGGGGGCCCTGAAGATCCTCACTGCACCACTCACCATGTGACTTTTTTTGGTGGGGGAAAGGGGCCCAATGTCTTAATCTCACTGTGCTCAGTTTTTCTTTTGTAAAACAGGGATTATAATAGTATCTACCTCAAAAGATTGTAGTAAGGATCAAATGAGTAGTATATGAACAACATTTACAGCAATGCTTGGCACGTAGTAAGCATTTTAAATTTTGCCTATCACACTCTGATTACATGAATCCAAATTAAAATATTTTTCTTTCTTTTTTTTTTTTTTGAAGATTTTATTTATTTATTGAGAGAGAGAGCGGGGGGAGGAGCAGAGGGAGAGGGAGAGAGAATCTCAAGCAGACTGCGCTGAGCACGGAGCCCAACGCAGGGCTCAATCTCACAACCCTGGGATCATGCCCTGAGCCAAAATCAGCAGTCAGACTCTTAACTGACTGAGCCACCCAGGCACCCTTAAAATATCTTTCTTCATTCATGAAGATTTTCTTCATTTCTTCAGGGAATCAGGGTTTTCTAGGTAGGCACGTGTGACTTTTCTTAAAGACATATTTAAATTTCCAAATCAAGCAAATTACCCAAATTATAAAATTATCTTAGAACTTCGGCGCTTCAGGGCGCCTGGGTGGCTCAGTCGGTTGAGCGTCTGCCTTCGGCTCGGGTCGTGATCCCGGGGTCCTGGGATCGAGCCCCGCATCGGGCTCCCTGCTCGGTGGGAAGCCTGCTTCTCCCTCTCCCACTCCCCCTGCTTGTGGTTTCCTCTCTCGCTGTGTCTCTCTCTGTCAAATAAACAAATAAAATCTTTAAAAAAAAAAAAAAAAAAGAACTTCAGCGCTTCAACAGAATGTTGGTATCAGGTCTTCTTTTTCAGAGACCTGGTTAATAACAATGGAACTAACATTATGTAAGTCCCTCTATGGGAATTTTTAGAAGAATGAAAGCAATGTGCTAATGGCACATTATAGCTAATGGTCTCTAATAAACGGAGAGCATAATACGGGAGTTTTTTACTTCACAGATCTAAAAATTGTCAACTCGTTTGAGGATGTAGCCATATTTAGTGTAACTCCGTAAGTTTTAAGGCATTAGTATAGGAATTATCTGTTTTTCTTCTAGATACCCATAAGCAGCATCATCTCCGTTGAAACTCCTAATACAGCCCCATCAAGTAAGAAAAAAGAAAAAAAAGAACAGCTTTCAAAAGCACAGAAGCGTAAGCTGGCAGATAAAACAGGTTTGTGTTTATTTATTTATTTTTTTATAACGCAGATAGGTTGCTTTTTAGGGTGATATGAGTGCTTAATAAGTGTATTTTGATTCAGAAGAGTAGTTCTCTCTTCTTCATCCTTGGAACATTGGGATCAGATGCTGTCTTGGGTCACAGACGTATATTGAAAATATTTATTACTTTACCACAAGAGATCACCGTTTGAGGGGAAGGTAAGTAAGTGGCAAAATAACTATAAATGAGTCTCGAGGTTGAGAAACAGAATAGCATACAAAAGTGTATCCTACTTGTACCCTTTCTGACATGTTTGGGATTTTCCTATTTGTTTACCTTTCTGGCAGATATGTGTATCTGCCTAAATATTTTTTGAACTGTAGCTTTCATTTGAAATGAAGTCTGGTATACCATTAGATCTTAGCACAATAAATAATATAATGTTTTAAAAAAAATAATATAGGGGCGCCTGGGTGGCTCAGTTGGTTAAGCGACTGCCTTCGGCTCAGGTCATGATCCCAGGGTCTCAGGATAGAGTCCCGCATCGGGCTCCCTGCTCGGCAGGGAGTCTGCTTCTCCCTCTGACCCTCCCCCCTCTCATGTGCTCTCTCTCTCATTCTCTCTCTGTCAAATAAATAAAATCTTAAAAAAAAATTTAAAAAATAATAATATAATGTTTTTGTCTGTAGTTGATTTATTTATATAATTAGAATAAGATTTAAGAATAGAATTTCTGTGTCTCCTAAACCAGAGTCATTTTATGGACCTTTAGAAGAGAATTATAAATTCCACTGCATATCACCAATAATATTTGATCTCTTTATTTAACCTGAAAATTCGCAAATTGGTATCAGTCTGTAAACTTTCTTTCCAGTTAAGGAAATGTATATATTTATATACATATACACAAGTGTGTCCACGTATACTTACGTCTGTACGTGTGTGTGTTCTTGGTATAAGGTTACAAGCTGCCCTTTATTGAAAAGAACTGACCCTTTTACTTTGGTGAGGAAGTTTAAAATAATGCCCTTTTATAAAGGGATGGCAGGTTTTTTGCTTATGTTTTGTTTAACGTCCTGTGTGGCAGAATGAAAAGATTGCAGCCCTTTGTTGGCCCTCAAAAGACATTCTTGAAGTCACAATAGTTTGTGAAATAACAAATGTGGGAATCCATTATACCTAATATTAAAGCATGAACAACCAAAGCAGTGAATTATTAGTCATTGCAATCTGTTTTCTAGAATTTTGGTTAATCTCTTTTTTAATGCTGTAGCATCTCTGTCAGTTCATTACCTGTTGCTTTCATACATAATGACCTATGATCATTCCCTTTCATTATGGTTTCCCCACCTCCATCGTTTTGATGATGCCCACCTAAGAGGCACCATCTTTCTGTACTTAACGGTCTAGGAGTTTGTGACTTGAAGCTTGCTTTCTAAATAAAACTTTAAAAGGACCGTGGGTAAGTTTTAGTTAACAAAATTGGTGATCTGCCCCCACACCCCTGACAACCAATAAACAGTGGGATAAGATTCTTATTGGCATAAAGTAGAAAAGAGCCATTAGCATCTAAGATTGAGGTCCAGTGATGCTGCTTCTGTCCTGTAAGAATCATGAGGTTGGTTTCTGTTTCCCTTGTGTAAAATTAATGTATTGGTTTTAAATGCAGATTTTGATGATTTCATAAAATGAGATGTATAGAGATAATATCAAGCATAAAGGAAATCACACCTTTTTATACTAAAACGCTTATATTTATTAAACTGTTCTTCAAGTTTGAATATTCTATTACAAGAATGAAGTCGCTTTGTAAACTATAATTTTTTTAAATAAAGTTTCAGCTTGTTTTCAAGCACTCCCAACAGATTAAAGACCTGTCAGATTAAACAATGTTAGGCTAAATAATGAATATTTTATCAGACCACGAAAGTTAATAAATAAGTTGACCAGGCCTCCTCTGAGTTTCGAGGCCAGACATTGATTTATAAGGACTCTTGTCTTGAGCCTAGCTTCGTAGTTTAAAAAGCCTCATGAAGCAGTAAAGTAGCACAACCATCTCACTTAAAAAAGCCGTAACCTTATAAAAAAGGGTAGAATTGTACAAGTGCATGAAACTAATAAATTGATTCATTCCTCTTCCTGGAGTTTCCAACTCACCTCCATGTTTTTGTCTTAATATCATGGTTTTGTCTTGAATGGAAATAGGGTAAATGTGAAAGGGAGTGTGTCTGAGTTACTTTGCAAGTATCCTGAGGAGAACGGTGCTTTCAGTTCACAATGATGATAAACTGGTTTTCCAGCTTAATATAATACATGATTTAAAATTTTAATCTGTTACTGTGTAGATCTATCTATTATTGTGTATTTAATCTATTGTGTAGAATGGTATACAAAAGCTTATTGTTAGAGTATTAATTGCTTTAAAAATTACTGCTTGGTCTTAGACATAAAGTTACTATTTTTATCCTCTAGATCACAAAGGAGAACTGCCTCGAGGATGGAACTGGGTTGATGTGGTGAAGGTATATAATACTTATATTCTGGGCTTTAAAATATTGTTATCAATCTGCCATCAAATAATGAAATTTATATCTTCATTTTTCCCCCCCTCAACCTTTGAATTTTACTGGAATGGCTGTTTCCCTTTTTGCTTCAGCATGTAAGTATTTTTGAAATATCTTTCACATTCTTTTCTTTCCTACACCTTCAGTTTTAGATTTTCTTTATTTAAATAATGGAAAATCTGTAGAACTAAGCTGTAAGTACAGTGAAGTATGACTGTTTATGTAAGTACATCTGAAGAACGAACATGCCTAGCTATGACTCTGGATTAGCGGTAGAGTGGAAATAAGAAACAAGGCATCGAAAGGAATGCTTTGATTTCTTAGTAGAAATTCATATCTATTTTTTGAGGGCAAACCCTAGATGGAGTTTCCCATCATTGTCAAGAAGGATTTTCTGTTTTTCTTATTTAAAATTGTTTACTTTTCACCTTGAAGTTTTTTGCCACCTTCTCTCAATATTTTTCTTATTGGTAGGTTCCAATATATTAAAGTGATGCTTAGTTAATCCTTTTTTTTTTTAAGATTTTATGTATTTATTTGACAGAGAGAGACACAGTGAGAGAGGGAACACAAGCAGGGGGAGTGGGAGAGGGAGAAGCAGGCTTCCCGCTGAGCAGGGAGCCCAATGCGGGGCTGGATCCCAGGATCCCGGGATCATGACCTGAGCCGAAGGCAGTCGCTTAACCGACTGAGCCACCCAGGCGCCCCTAGTTAATCCTCTTTGTAGGACTTCATGAGATGAGTTTTGCATGCCAATTAGTGCCCCTACTGCTGTGAGAAGTAATGAATATGATCCAAGGGTAGTTAAAGATTAGGATTTTAGTGGGCACCTACAAATACGGGTAATTTATAAACAGTATATTCTTAGAGGTCAAGTCAGCGGTTTGGGCCATGGGGTACCTTTGCTATAGAAACTGTTTAAAATAATCTTTGTGCCTGGTACAGAAATACTACCTGGGAGTAGGTGAGCTGCAGTCGGAAGAAAGCAGCAGTCTTTCTTGTCCGCTTCCTGAGCAAGGGGCTGACCCGCACACAAGATGTCTGTGTGGGTGCGGCTTCTCCGCGTTCTCTCATTTAGCCAGGCACCCCTCCACTGATGCCTGATGGATACTCTGTGTTGTCCTAGGTGTGCTTGTATGTACCTCACCAGCTAAGTCGTTTCCCTCCTTAAAATGCTTCAGGCTTCAGAATGAGAGTGCATCCTTCCCAGACAGTAGCCGTCAGCAGAAATTGGGCTCAAAAAGTAATCTGATTAATCCAAAGGTGGTAGTGCTCCTCCTTGCCTAGCTCCAGAAATTTAGTTTCCTGCTTGTTTTTCAGAGTCCTTATTAATATAAATTAGAATTTCAGCACATATAAAGAAAATGAAGATTGAAATAATCCAGTAATCTTGGGAGATAGGCGAAGATATTTTTAGGAGGGAGGTTACCACGTAGGCGGGTCTGGCCTCAGAATCTGTTACCCGAAGCTAGTAGTTTCCAAATATGATCTTGGGATCCCTGGGAGGTCCTGGAGGCCTCTGGGCATCTGCAAGGTCAAAACTATTTACATCCTAATGTTAAGGTGTTGTTTGTCTTTTTTCCTCGTTCTCTCACAAGTGGACAGTGGTGTTTACCAGGGGCTCCTGAAGTGTAATGATGCCATCACTAATACTCTTCTATTAGAGCACTAATAGAATGTGTGCTTTTATATTCTTGTGTTTTCCAGAATTTTCTAAGGTGGTGAGTAGGTTTAGAATCTAAGTACGTGCATTTTTATATTAACTCAGTTTGTTCGGGTGCCTGGGTGGCTCAGTTGGTTAAGCATCTGCCTTCAGCTCAGGTCATGATCCCGGGGTCCTGGCATCGAGCCCCGCATTGGGCTCCCTGCTCAGCGGGAAGCCTGCTTCTCCCTCTCCTCCCCGCTTGTGCTCTCTCACTGTTTCTCCTTCTCTCTCTCAAATAAATAAATAAAATCTTGAAAAAAACAAACAAAACAAAACAAAAACTCAGTTTGTTCTTAGTTATTTGTACTGTGTTTCTGTTCACTGTTTTCTATTTTACCTGCCTTACTGTGGAAGCAGATTTGTGAAAACCCAGCTGTCTTCTGTTGAGCTCAGTAATAAAGAAATTCACAAAAATGTAAAACAACACTATTCTTCGCATTAAGTTTTATTTGTTTTAAAAGACACAGCTTTTCATTTAAGAAATGTTATTCGGTGATCATGGAGTGAGTCTGTTGTTATTTTTACATGAACTCAATTCCTCAGTTTTAATTTCAAATACTGTAGGTTTAATATACATTTAAAAGAAAGCTCTTTTAAGATCCTCAAAGTGGGAAGAGGAGCTGGGGCCAGAATGTTTGAGAACTGCTACCCTTAACAGTTTCTGCTTTTCACAGCTTCCCACATTCTCTGGGGTTCTCAGGGTTTGGGTTCACCGGGGATTTCTTTATTCTGGTCAGAATTGTCTGTGTATTCTTTGGGAACTCCCCACCCTCTCCCCCATTTGCTAAATTCTATAGGTTTTTATCAGAAAAGACTTGCAATTTAAGATTTTTATCGTATTTTTAAAACTGTACTTAATTTATGTGGTTTTTTTAACCACAATGTTTAAAATTTTTGAAGTCTTTATTGTGAAAATAATAGAAGAATGTCATTCATTTTATAAGTGGCACCTTTTGTATGTTCTTGGTTCCAATTTATTTCTTGGAAAGCCTCAAGGGATTTTTTCCCCCCTTCTCTATTGAGGTTGTATTTTTAAAGAATCATGTTTAAAGTAGCTGAGCCTGAAGTTGAAAAGTAGTTAAATACGTTGAACGCTGTAGCTGGTATTAAATTACATGAACCTTGTTGTCTGTTGTTCTATCAATTATAAATATTTATTTCTGGTAATAAATGAAAACAGTGAACTCAAGTAATGTGATAGCTTAATCTTGTTGATGATGTCCTTTTTTGTCTTTTATAGTTAAGCAAAACTGGCTCTAAAGATGATGAATAGTACTTGGAATTGAAGACAAGGGAAGAACATCCTTTAAGAAGTAAACTGGGTTCAAAATCCTTCATTACTCTTTTCTGGTATTGAGGTGGCTTTTTATAAAACAGAATTTTTTTGTATGTTTCTTATGTAAAAAACGTTTTAAGCTGAAAGTTCATGAAGAGATCTGGTTGTATTAAATTATTTTCACAAACTTGCCTTAATAAAAGGTGAAATGTTACTGTTTAGTATACTTTATGAAGATGGTTGAGCTTTGTAAATGGACAAAATGGGAAATAATAAATAATCAATGTGAATTTATATGATCTTGTTCTAGTGGATGTGATATTTTTTAAAGGAGTAGGAAGCCCTTTTGAAACTCTCATCCCAGTGGATCAGAATACTGAGTAAACAGTTACTCTGTGGCATGATCCATATTAATAGACTTCTCGTCTTAATAAAGTCCTCATCTCTTCTTTCTCTTAATTACTGAAGCATAAATTGCTCCAGAGAAATTTAAATACTAATATTTGAACTTTTACATAATATTCTTTGTAGTTCCTTTTTATTTTTCAAGGGTGAACCGCTTCTTTTTAGTAAATGAGTATCTGTTCATACTCTTCCTTTGGGTCATGATACTTGACCATGAGAGTTTTCAGCCGTATGTGGAATAGGAGAATATAAAAATAAATCTGCCAAATACATTCAAAAGCATTTGAATAGAAGTGCTGGTTCCCACTGAAAACATTTCTCTTTGCTGCATATACCAAGATGGGAGTAAAAGATGCCTTAATATTTAATTTTTGTATTGTTGGAGACAGTGGTTTTAATAAATTCCTGTTTACCTGCTACCGTGTGGTTTTGGTTGTGTGGTAACAGGTCTCCTAAATGGTTTAACATAAAACCACCTCTCAAGTCTTGTTTCTTTTCAAGTATCCACGTGGATTTCTCAGCCTGAGCATCTTCCTAGTTATAGACATAGAAGTGTTTCAAATGCTGAATCATAGTACAGGCTTGATTATTTTTTTTAATCACGAGTAGGGTACCTATTAGTGTCGTGTAACCAGGAAGTTACTGATGTGTCTGTGTGAGTTCCAGTGACTGCATTTGCTTCCCGGCTGGAAAACCCTAGAAAAACCTTCTACAAATAAATATTTCTAGAAGGGGAGGCTGTTGTTCCTCCAGTTACACCTGTGCAGCTCGGGTCTGAGTTTTTAAAGAATAATGAACTTGTAAAGACACGTCCTTAGCATACGAGCAGTTTAAATTATGTCCGTGGCTTTTACTGGGCTAACATTAGGCTCAGTTAAATCATTTTAATTACACAGTAAATACAATTATGGTGAAGAAGTGTAATCTGATTTTCAAAAGCTGAATCACATTTGATATCTTGAACTAATAGAACAGAATCATTAAAATTCAAGACCACCGGATTGCGGCCAACTTTTGTCCTGGGGGTTGTGTGTACATGGTTTTCGTTGTGTTGATTTGTTTGCTTGTTTTTAAGGAAACTGGAACTACAACATCTGCTCGTGGAACAAACTGTTTCGCTCTGAAGATTCTGAAATTGTTCAGGCTTCTTGTGGTTCAGAGATGACAAAGAATAATGCTAGTTAAATGCCAATGAGCTGTTTTTACTCTTTTTATATGAAATGTACACATGTAGGGGGTCATGGTGGCCGTGGCGCCTCTGACCACCTTCTGTAAAACACTGAAACATTCTCGTCCGGATTGCCATCAGCTGTTCAACACCCCCCGTACATTTGCTCAAAGTCTGTCTACCTGAAACTGTATGGAATGACATCCTTAATAAGCAATAAAACCAGAATTACACACAGTGGTTTTCTCTGTGTTTTATTTCAAGTCGATGGAGAGAGAATTGTTGATTTTACAAATTTGCACAGACTTAGGGTGTAAGATGTACCCTCCTACTAGAAACTGTTTAAAAGTGAAAGAGAGAGAGCACCAGCACAAGCTGGGAGAGGCAGAGGGAGAAGCAGACTCCCTGCTGAGCAAGGAGCCCCATGCGGGGCTCGATCCCAGGACCCTGGGATTCTGACCTGAGCCGAAGGCAGACGCTTAACCAACTGAGCCACCCAGGCATCCCCCAGAGTCTAAAACATTTAAACAAAAGTTGGAAGCTTGAGGTTAAGGACAGCTTCAGTTTTTACAGTGTCAAGGGGCCCAGAAGACAGATGAAGTCTGGGATCAACCCAGGTTAAGGAGTCACACACAGGTACACAGAGCATGCATGAGGCTGAGACCTATCCCCCGGGGGGGCCCTGAGGGAAAATTCCTGTCTTAAACTTGGGTTCTCCGTGGAAGGGCAAAATGTAAACAGACGGACATGGACTCTCCTGATGACTTAAAACAGGGTTCCTCACACTTGGATTTCAGCCCAAATTCTTCCCCATATGAGTGATCTTAAAAAACAACAACCCCTCAAGCCAGGATTTTAGTTCAAAGTGGTATCATCTGGGCACCTGGCTGGCTCAGTTGGTGGAGCAGGTGACTCTTGATCTCAGGGATTGTGAATTCAAGTCCCAGGTTGGGTGTACAGAGTATTTTAAAAATAAAATAAAAATTAAAAAGTGGTGCCAACCGGGTAGAATCTCTGGGCAACTAGTAGAAATGACCACATATCGACCCTGGAAGAACCCACCTTCAAGCCAGACCTCCAAAGAAAGCCCCACACGTAGAGTGCTCGGAATGTGCACTCACGGTCAAAGCCACGGTCCACGGAAGCGGGACCTTGTGACAGCCTCCTGCAGGGAAGCTTAGGGGAAGAAGCACTTCAAGGATGTATTCTTATGACACAGACTCTTAGATGTTAAGAGAAATTGAGTAAGGAACAAGAAATTATTAAGATGCATCAAGCAGATTTGGAAAAGAACCAAATAGAACTCGAAAAGTAAAATAATTGAAATTAAAGTTACAGATGAAGACACGTGTGCTTTGGCAAATCTGAAGTATAAATATCCCGTGGAATGAAGGCGGAACTAAATTTGCACTTTGGGATTTTCTCTCTTTTCGATTGTAACCTTAGAATCTTTCTTTCTTTTTTTTTTTAGATTATTTAAGAGAGAGAGCGCAGGAGAGAGAGCACAAGCACGCGGAGGGGCGGAGGGAGAGAGAGAGGCAGACTCCCCGCAGAGCAGGGAGCCAGATGCGGGGCTCGATCCCAGGACCCTGGGATCACGACCTGAGCCGAAGGCAGATGCTCAACCCACCAAGCCATCCAGGCACCCCAACCTTAGAATCTTTCTGCAATATTTCTTCACAGGCCCCACCATTTTAGGTCAGCTGGATGATTTGAGCTTTCCAAAAGTTCTGCTTGATGACTGCACGTGTACCTCCCCGGACCTTGTTTCAGAAGAGACCAGTTAGGACAAGGATTTGGCCAGTGTTTCCAGAGGGTTATCTGTGATAACTTTAAAAAGAATAAATTTAGAAATTACGCTCTATACTAAGGTTTTGTCATTGGATAGTCCACAGAATAAGAACAGAACAAAAGGCATTACCTGGTAGGAATTATCTGGTAATCTATGATTCTAAATTTCTGTGTTTCCATTATGTGACAAAATAATCAGGAATTGATCAATGATCTGAAGTGTTTTTGTGTGTGTGATCCATTAATGAAGAAACTCATCGAAGGTCTTTACCAGCAATTTTCCTAATGGAATAGAAGAGAACAGAATTCAACAGAAAATACCAGTGTATATCACATGTTGTAAGGGTCTTTGAGTGCGTGTGACTGTTGTTTTGGTTTGGGGTATGTATGTGCAGATACTGTATAAAATTTATTTCTTAAAGTGCATCACGGCGAAAAAGTCTGAAAGGCACTGATCAGAGCATACAAAATGTGGGACAAATTTTACATATAAAGATTTCATTTTTAAAAGCACAAAATGGGGGTGCCTGGGTGGCTCAGTCTGTTCAGCGTCTGCCTTCGGCTCAGGTCATGATCCCAGGGTCCTGGAATCGAACCCCGCATCGGGCTCCCTGCTCTGCAGGGAGTCTGCCTCTCTCTCTCCCTCCGCCCCTCCCCATGCTTGTGCTCTCTCTCGTGCACGCTCTCTCTCTGTCTAATAAATAAATAAATAAAATTTTAAAATGTGCCTCTCAAAGTGCTAAACACATTTATCATTGATTTTGCATTATTTAAAAAAAAAAAAAAAAAGACCGATGACGTAAAGCTGCATTGCATAGTATAATACGAGAGGAGCAAAATGTTAATTTAGGGTAGGATCTTTGAATGACTTTGTAAATTTTTTTTTTTAAGATTTTATTTATTTATTTGGCAGAGAGAGACACAGCGAGAGAGGGAACACAAGCAGGGGGAGGGGGAGAGGGAGAAGAAGGCTTCCCGCTGAGCAGGGAGCCCGATGCGGGACTCGATCCCAGGACCCTGGGATCATGACCTGAGCCGAAGGCAGACACTTAACGACTGAGCCACCCAGGAGCCCCGACTTTGTAAATTTATAATAATGAAAATTCTTGCATGACGGGGTTGTTTTTTTGTTTTTAGGTAATAGTAATGTATCAATACTGCTTTCTGCTTTCTTAGTTTTGATAAATGTATTATAATAAAGTTAAGATGTTAACAGTAGGGGAAACTGGGTGAGAAGTATGTAGGACTTACCTATAATATCAGCACATTTTTTTTTAAAGTCTAAAATTAGTTTCAGATTCAAAAATATATTTATTATGGTGCGTGCCAGTCCCTCCAACCCTGAGAGAGTTCTAACAGCTTCCCTGCCTGGGTGGCTCAGTTGGTTAAGCGTCTGCCTTTGGCTCAGGTCATGATCTCAAGGTCCTCCCACATCGGTCTCTCTGCTCCACGGGGAGTCTGCTTCTCCTTCTCACTCTCCCTCTGTGTTCTCCCTCTCTCTCGATTTCTCTTGCTCAAATAAATAAAATCTTAAAAAAAATTTTTTTTTGAAAAATTTTAATAATTTTTTTAAAACTCTGCATCCAGGTGGACACACAATGTGACATTATTTCCAGGCGGTCAGCATGGTGATCCTCCTGCGTGCCGTGCGGGCTCACCACAAAGACACCTGCCATCTGCATGACAGCTTTTGAACTGAGCACCTTGCATGAGGAACTCCAAGTCCTAATGCCTGAATCAATGGTAAATAACTTTAACAGTTTTAGCTTCTTACTCATAAGAACCCAACGTAAGAAAATGCGCCCTATTCTCCCACCATTTCTCGAGGAAGAATCATTTTCTTCCCAGGCTTCCTGTATAAATCTAGTCACTAAAATAAATTGTTGTCATGGGCTGATGGTGGTAAGAAAACAGACGGGAAACACTGGCACCCTCGCCCGTTCTCCCCTATTTTGGCTGGCGGCACCTGGGAAGTTGGAAGTAACCTCCCGTGTCTCTCTCTGGCCTTCTGGAGCATTTCTTTCCCGTGGCTCCCACAAAGCTTTGGCCTGTTGGGACACTATTCTTGGTATTTTAGGTAACAAGCCATCTCCGTGTCCACTTCTGTCCTTTCATTAACAAAAGAGAATGCGGGCGCCTGGGTGGCTCAGTTGGTTAAGCGACTGCCTTCGGCTCAGGTCATGATCCTGGAGTCCCGGGATCGAGTCCCACATCGGGCTCCCTGCTCGGCAGGGAGCCTGCTTCTCCCTCTGACCCTCCCCCCTTTCATGTGCTCTCTCTCTCTCATTCTCTCTGTCTCAAATAAATAAATAAAATCTTAAAAAAAAAAAAAAAGAGAATGCAATTTGGAAAAGGAAACTTCACACAGGGGAAAAAATGCACATGAAAACATTTTTTGCTTCGTAATTAAGTGGCTAGAAATTAACCTTGAACATCATCCTATGATGATAGTTTTTCAAGTACAGAAAGGTGAGGAGAGAGGTTTGCATTTAACGCATGGAATTGCATGCAAGGTGAGACTCTGTGTTTCTCCCGAGGACAGTGCTCTTCTGAGTCACTTGACAACCCACCCCGTTTGTGAAGGAAAATTCTCGGGCTTGGACTCCGGGTCCTGGGAGATGTAAATCCCTCTGAGGTTTCAGTGGAAGCAAACACTTCATCAATTCCTACATTCTTTTCACGGTCTGTTTTTGTATTCTTAAAAATCACACTAGTTGGGTGGCTGGGTGGCTCAGTGGGTTAAGCATCTGCCTTCGGCTCAGGTCATGATCCCAGGGTTCGGGGATCGAGTCCCGTATCAGGCTCCCTGCTCAGCGGGGAGTCTGCTCCTCCCTCTGACCCTCCCCTCCTCATTCTCTCTCTCTCAAATAAATAAAATAAAATAAAATTACACTTTTTCCACTTCTACCCAATAATATGATTTTTTAAACACGAAAGTGCAAGAAATGAAATGCTGTTGAAACCTTTCTCCCCCTTTCCGTTTCTATGTCTCTGAAGATCACAAAATCTAGAATTTGTCAGATTGCCATTTCACTTGCTGAATACCGAATACACTGACTAAATATTCCTTACCTTCCAGGGGCTGCTCAAAGATAAAAATTTAAATCGATGGGTGTTATTTAGAATCATGATAACTGAGAAATCACAGAGTTTGGTTATAAGAATGTCCATCCATCTGCTAAAAGAAAAGTATAACTCCCACTACATGCTGACAAATCCCATCTGTTAAGATTTTCCCTTAGTTTCTATATTTTTCTTTTGTATGTCAGTGTTTTAAAATTCTTTATTAATTCTTTATTTTTATCAAAGTCATACATATACTTCAAGTCAAATAGTTCCACAAGGCTTTTAATGTAAAAGGTAATTCTCCCTGCCACACCCCAGCTATCCCAATTCCCACCCCCTGTAAGTAACTGCTTTCAATAATTTTTAGCTTAAACTGGCCC